AATCCCTGTTCGACTATTGGAAGAGCAGCATAGGGCACAGGTCTTTTAGGTCGAAAAATGGGAGTAGCTGCAGGCTTCAGAGTTAGCACTGCTTTCGCCTTCGTGCATTCGCCTAATCCTTCTTTAAACACGTCTTGGTGTTTTTGTAGCATGGCATTTTTCTGACTCCACTCTGAGGTGTTGTAAGTTGTGATTCGTTTGCAGATACTGTTAATAGTGTGGTCTGCTAGGTCAAGTGTTTCTATAAGATCCAACCCCATTAAGTCGAGTGCTGGCTTCTTTGTAAGATACACTGTTGCATTTGTTGTTACCGCATCCTTAGACACAATACAAGGTATCTCCCCAACAATGTTTAACTTTCCACCTGATGCACTGTGTGCTGTTTTTGTTGTTCGATGCACCGAGGGTCGCCCAATCTTCTTCCAAGTTTCTGGACTTATTAAAGTAATATCAGAAGCAGTATAAAGCTGAAGTCGAATGCGGTGTTTATTAATATTCAAGGTTACGTACTTTCTCTGGCGGCACCTTCTAGCTTTGTTATGCGATACCAATATTCTTTTCGTTAATGCCCCAGACCTGTATTTCTTGAAGTAAGGTTTTGCAAAATGTCGTTTATAGTTTCTTTTCCTGCAGCTGGTTTCTATATGGCCCTTTCGATGACACTTACTACAACAATGTTCTTTATACGGGCAAAACCTCTTATAGTGCCAGTCTCCACATGCCCAGCATGGAGATGATGGTTTGTCGCCGTTATTACGATAATTAGGTGTACTGGAACCTTGCAAGGATTTTCTCTTGACTGCATTGACATTATGGAAACAGGTACCGTTTTCTACCATTGAGGTATCATGCTTCAAGTTCACTAACCTTTGGCACTCGGTAGTAACTTCTTGTAGTGTTATGTTTGGACACTGTTCAATTTTACTCAAAATTCTGGTTCTGATATCAGCATCTTCGGAAGATTGAAGGCTACACACGAATACGAGACATTTAAACTGATCTTCTGTCATAGTCGATAATTTGAAGCGTTCACACTCACGATTTACTAAAACTGCGTGCTTCACCCAGTCATCATCAGCTGCTTTTGTTATCTTCAGACACTGATAACGACTATTGAATAAGGACGACTGTTCAGCAAAGATTTGTGACAAAATCTCAATGGTTTCATCAAAAGTAAAATCTCTTGGGTTCTTTGGAAGAATGAAATTACTATAGCGTTCATGTTCAACTGTGCCAAGTTTTCTTAAGAGTATTCTGACCTTGGCGGCGTCATCAAGTTTTCTGAGGTCGACCTTGAATAAATCTTCGTATTTCTTGAACCAGGTTTCGAAAGTAATACCAGCCGAACCATCGAAATTAAACTCATGGATAGAATTAATAATATGGTCGACATTAGATTTGGAAGCATCATCTGTAGCACCAGTTTGACTTAGGTTCAATTTCTGCGTTAAAGTCTCTATGATACGAACCTGGAACCGCTCAAATCGTCTCTCTTGATGCTCCAGCAAGGCTTCAAATTGTTCAAAGGTAAATGACATCTTGATAAGCTAACCCCTTCGCCAGTGATATGTCTTGTAGGTTGAACACCTTATTCGGATCCTAAGCTATTCCGATAACCCCAGGACTAGCACTACTCAGCAACTTGAAGACCAGAGAGAAGACACGGGTATCAGAGAAAACCTTTACTGCAAGGATCATCCTTGTACAGAAAATCGTAGGTATTTATAGATGTTTGCTTAAGTTAAATCAACATCCTAATTCAGCCAATCCAATTAACGACATAAATTGCTACTGACCAATGGTAGCATGTCACGTTGGAACTCCAGAATGTTCTGTCGTACTCTGATTGGTTGGGACTCTTTTTGAGCCTCTGGAGGCTCTGTTGGAGTTCGCTGGAAGCCTACTTAACACAACCACCGACTGCCCCGACGTGCAATGTTTTATGGTGTAGGAGAGTAGGTTGGATTACTGCTTATACTCTTACTGCTTCTACCACTATGGGATATGAATCGACAACTGTATCTTCTGTGGTAATGTGGTATGACAAGTCGAACTAATGTACGTACGTACGAAGTTCTACGTTGTGACTGACTGATATTTATCCTACTATAAGAAATGATTACTTTCATTCCTAACTCTGATAGCTTAAGAAAAAATCAAGTAACTCACTGCATAGATTTCGTTCTCTTTCAAACCTTTTTTTTCTTGTTTGTTAAATCGATTGTCATTCTGTTAGTTGCTATGTCAAATAACCATAAAGTAAATGTTTTATATTATGATTATTACATTTATAACTCATGTGTTACAACACGATATTCTTTTTCTTTTATATTATTAATTGATTGATTTTGTATTCCTTTTAATGTATGTTTTTTTTTGAAAAAAAAGTGCAACATGTGATTGTAGCATAGTTACAAATTATTTATAACTAACATTTTCTAGAAATATATAAATGGATAAATCAACTTACACATCCTTATTCCCCCCACCCTCTCTTTCTCTCTCTCCCTCCCCCCTCCCTCACTCTCTATCTCTCTTAGACATAACTATTATAATTAACAACATCAACAACTATTTTGTTAAAAATGTTTTATTTACAAAACAAGTTGATAGATCAATGTCATCATTTGTTTGAAATATCTATAATCATTGAATACAAACGAAATTTCATTATTCTACCATTAAATTGTATAAATTTCAATGTCAGTCTGTCCGTCAGCTATAACGTACAACCAGGCACATTTATGTATCGGTTCAAGTTGCCATTACCTCGTTAGCAAAACAAAATGAAGTAGTTAATTTAGTGGTGGTAGTATATAAAAAATAAGTTGTATATAAGGATATAGTACAGGAAGAAAGATAGATATGAAGCAATTTTATTCTCAAGGTTTAAGGGAAAATAAAGAGTGTATACACCTACGCCATTGTGATCGATTCTGAGCCATATCGCCTAGAGTCTCCAACCATTGGTTACAGTAGTTGCGAAGACCCTAACCAAGTAGTCTGTATCTGCCAACATGGCTCAGACTAGAAGTTAGTGACTTCAAGCATTGATGCCACATTTTAGTTTGGCCACTCCTAACTCTTTTTTCAACCGTCTCCAACACTAGTCAGCATTTCGCGTCGTGGTAATCGGTGTTCAGGCATACGTAACACATGACCCAGCCATCTCAGTCAATCAAGATTCACTTATAACTACAATCTATTTATTCTTAAAAATTGATACTGGCGAAATAAGTCAAGTAAGTTTTTTATAGAAAATTATGCGTTACAATTTGATCGTCATCATTTATTTACAGTGATTTCAAATGATCTAATATATACTCAATCGAAAATTCATAGTGTTTGCATCATTGGGTATTATTGTTCATAGTTTTATAATGAAATCACTCTTATTTTCGTATAAACAATTTTTTATTTCAATGTAGAACAATTAGCTTCGAGTTGATCTCAACTGTTTGTCAAAAATGTACTAATTATCTAAAAGTTATCCTTACAGATGTCTAACATTGGAACAACCAGTTTATGCATATTACTTTGTAAGATTTCCAAAGATTATGATTCACAGAATACAATAGATGTTACTTACTTACACCTGTAATTCCCAAGAGAGGCCGCCAACCAGCAATAGATGTTAGACAACTTCATAACTTATTTCATAAATATGAAGACCCTGGCAGTTTGTTTGTTTTTTTCAATAGATTTCTATAATTCTTTTAGTACTAACGCGCATTCATCGTTTACGATTATGTATTATTCATCTTTTAGGTGTTTAAATCTAAGTAGGTAGATAATAAGAACTTTCGCCTAAATTTGAGCGAATCCTTTTACAGTATTTTGGCGCTGAGTTAATGTAAGACATTAAATAGAAATAATATATTTGTAAAATCTCAGCGAATGAATTTGAAGTAAATCCAACGTTTCGATGTAGGTTTGTTCTCTGAGCTGGATGGTTTGGTCGTGACTTGTTGGTAGAACATGCTGGCGAATGCACTCATGGAGAAAATATAGTTGTTCTCGAGTGGAAGCTTGCCTTATGGTGAAATTCTCCCATTTTCGAACAACGAGAAGCGTACTACGCTCGTATGATTTTGACATGGTGAAGAAGATTTGTAGCTCAGGTAGGTGATTTTGATGTAGGTTTGTTCTCTGAGCTGAATGGTTTGGTCGCGACGACCATGCAGCTCAGAGAACAAACCTACATCAAAATCACCCACCTGAGCTACAAATCTTCACCATCTCTAAATCCAACGTTTCGCCTGGCGATCTGGTCCAAGCTTTTTCAGATTTCCTTAAAAAAGCTTGGACCAGATTGCCAGGCGAAACGTTGGATTTACTTCAAATTCACTTCGCTGAGATTTTACAAATACATATTATTCCTAGTTAGGCAGATAATTGTTTCCAAACTTATCAATCTTTTTAATAAACATATATTTATTATTTATTTCTAATTGAACACATAACTATTGATATAAGGAAGCACCAGATGAATATGCGCCGCACAAATCTCATTTGATTTGTGTGAGGGCTGTGATACTGCCCAGACTGAAGCAGGTGGTTTTCTTAGGGGGTCACATCCGGAGCCTTTGACCTAAATGTTTAATCCACAAGGCAATGGAGCATCGTAACGAAATGCAGTCCCATGGTAGCCGGTGACCAACGATTGATTCATACGCCATTTGTTTCCTCAGGATACTGGAGCCAGCGAATGTGCACCATTGGTTTGGAATGAGGGTTTTCCATCTTCCCTAGGTGGACTTTCCGTGTCCACCTATGTTATTATCCTTACACTTGCATATTGTTATCCTTCATTGACATCATGGATTCATATTTCGTTAGACTTTTGTTACCTATATGATTTATTTTCTATAATTTTTGTCTCTTTCCTCTTGTATCTAAATAACTCCGTAATGAATGTATCACGTTTTTGGTATATAATTCGTTGTTATAATGAACCTTATGTTAAGCAAACCTTCTGTTTCCTTCTCTTTTTTTCCCAGTGAAGAAACTATGTCAATGTTATTAAATCGTATTACAGCTAATGAATACGTTGAACCATCTATTTTAGTCAGTTGTGTAAATGTATGTATGGCTTTAATTGGTAAAAAAAAGCCGTAAGTCAGTATTCTTCTTCGTTTTTTTGTTTGTGAATGTTTTTATCACTATGACAATGATCATTCAGTAGGTGTTTTCATGACATATTATTACCTGACTGATAGCTAGATACGATATTGATTCACTATCATTCTATCTTCTTCATTTCGAATAAATGAACATCAATGCAAAAAACACATTTATTCATAGAATAGACTTTTTCTCCCTTGATATGAATCCCAGGTAAATTATTGGATTTCAACAGGATACTGAAAAGGTGACCAACTTTCATCTACCTCTATTGGTTTTTTATTTAACACTCTTGTCCCTTAAACTTGAGTATATGAACACTGATTTTCATAGACATAAACTACTTGACTTAAGAATATCTAATTGTAATAGATATTAGATGAATTGATTACTGTGGTCTACAATTTTACGTAAGTGTACAAATACGATTGAGTGAGACAGGTCAATTACTCATTATTACGACCATTCTCAAATGTTAAAGGTCTATCCTTGTCAGTCTTTATTAGTATTATGAAATGTTGCTCAGATTTCCTTTACAAGGAGTGGACATCAAATTTGGTTAATATATAGCAACCATCCCATAATCAATTCCGATTATAGTCAATTTAGGTTAAGCCCTTTTTATTAACTTACTTAACAGACATCGTTATTAGGATAGTAACAATTTGCATATTCTTCGCACTGCTATACCAATAGAGCACTTGACACTATCCGAAATGTTGACTGCTTAAATATCATTCGATGACTCATACTTCTCCCCATATAAGTATGCACGCAAATACTATTATCAGCCTTTGTTTTGCTTTGCTGTGCCCTTATTAAATTTGACTATAAATTGCCTATGTAATTGCTTGCTATTCACTCGCTTGCTCCTCGTTCGTTTCCTTCGCTTGTTCGCCTGTTCACTCGCTCGTTGATATTAGCGCAGGTGTTGCTAGCTTTCTAACCTGAGTTATTCGACAATAAGCTGTAGTTGCTGCTATCCTTTGTCTTCTGATTTTACGCACCTTTGAGATTAGAATTATAACGGTTATCGAAGTAAACGATTAACGAATCGCGGCACTACAAACAGTTGAATCTTTAATTAATTGTGGTATTATTGTTTAGTCAATTATATGAATATATTACCCTTTGAGATGGTGAAGATTTATAATTCAGGTGTATGATTTCGGTGAAGTTTTTTTTTGCTGAACTGGATGGTTTGGTCGTAGAGCTTTCATTGTTATCCTGAACGACAACATCATCGCAAACTTTCGGTAGAACTGAAGTGTTCAAATATCTCCACATATATGTTACAGCTTGTTCTGTAGACTTCGGTCTTGATTGGTTATTTTTGTCCTTTAACCTGTCATTGTGTACTTCTTCACTTCACTTCTACCTGAAGTTTTTGCTGATGATGTCGTTCAGAATAACGACCAAACAATCCAGCTCAAAGAACGAAAATCAACCAAAATATTTTACTTTGTGTATATCCAAAATAATCTGTTCAAGGCAAAGGCTCGGGATGAGGCTCCCTAAGATAACTACCTGTTTCGGTTAAGGCACCCGGGCAATATCCCAGCCCTTACACAAATTGAATGATTTATGTGACGCATATCTTTTTGGTGCCTCTTTGTACTAATGTTTATGTGTTGAAATAAATAATAATAATTACAATAATCTATTCAATAAATACTTGAGCATTTTAAGCAAAGATGGATAACAGCTAGCAGTGGAATCCAGTTCGACGCGCGTTTCATCTTATTTGGGACTCGTCACCTGGATGTACCTGCATCTCAGAGTTGATGTTCACTCTGGAACTCAAACCCAATACCTTTCGCTTCAAACGCCATCGCATTATCCACTCGGCCACTGAGTCCTGATAGCAAACAAACAATACTAAATGAACTTGAACAGTTTGTTTAAATTCTGGGAAGAACTCATTAGTTGTTAAGGTGTATATCGTTCAAGCATTAAGTTAGCGATGCTTCAAGTTCAGGACAATCAGTTGTTTTTATTAAAGTACTGATAATTTATGTTTATCAATTACTGATTCACTATCAAGATAATTGTTAATCGACTGTATTCTTGGAAACTGTCGAAGTGTGTTCATTATTTATAATAAGTTTGTTTAACCAAATTATTCAACAGAATTTAAGTAGTATAATGTTTTTTTTTCCCTACATTTAATCTCTTAACTATTCCCTTTTTGTTTTTTAGTGAGTCAAGTTTTCCTGTTGGAGAAGATGGATATAGTGGTTTAGATTTTGATTCATTAATTAAATTTTCCGGTGATATTAGCAATAATCTAAAATCGATATTACGTAATAATAGTAATCCGAGCAATGATCTCAATAGTGGTAATCATTGTCCTACTACTGATAATCATACCAGTGATACTGTCGGAAAGTCTGATCCATTCGTGACTGCATCAAAAGATGATAATAATAACAATAATACCGTTATTGATAAATTACATATCATGAAAGCTTCAGAAAATCTAATTAAAACATCATTACCATATTTAGATAAATTACATGATTTACTGAAACGATTTCATCCAGTAAGTGTTGTTATGTGAATTATTTCCCACTATTTTCTTTCTTTTCATTGAATCTTATAAGTTATTTGAATTGATTGTAAGTGTTCTACATATGGTGACGGATTGTTATTATTATTTATAGTTGAATAATCGTTGGACAGCTGTTGTATAATAGTGTGGATCTCTTCAGCAATGTACATCTAGGATTGTATGTAGGATCGAATCTTAGACCTTTGATTCTCACAAGGATTGATGTACCTATAGATCACTAAGTCACCAAACAATAATTTACAATTCTAACTTCAATCTGTACTGCAGATGGATGAAACCCCGAATGCCCTGGTACTGCCGAGAATGGGGAGGTCCCGCCCTCTCCCTCGACATGCTCTCAGGCGGCCACGCATATACAGCCTATGCCAGGCAAGTTCTACTCAATGCCTTCTCGTGGCGAGGGTGTTGCGTACGGAATTGAGATGACAAAAAATCAATGTGCGGCGCTTTAACCGGGTCGGTAGACATGGAAAGTCCACCTAATGGAGTTGGAAAACCCTGATTCCCAACCAATGATGCATATGGGCTCCAGTATCCAAAAGGAACAAATGGCGTATGAACCAATCGTTAGTCACCGACTACCATGGGACTACATCTCCTTACGACGCTCCACTGCCTTGGGAATCAGACTTTTAAGTCGAAGGCTCCGGGTGTGGCCCCTTAAGAAAACCACCTGTTTCGGTCTGTGCACCCGGGAGTATCATAGCTCTCACGCAACTAAGTGAAATGACAAGTTTTTGTGTGGCGTATATGTATCTGGTGCCTCATTGTACCAATATTTATGTGGTCAAATAAATAATAAATAAAACATGTCTAGTACCATGTTTACAATCAATCTCAATTATAGTTAGATGAGTTAATGATTTACAGTTAGAAACATAAGTTGAATTTTAACCAATTATGCTCTTTAATATTATTAATATTGTTAAACGGATATCTATACTGCAATAGTCTAAGTATTCGACTTATCATATGAATATTGATTTACATGAAATCTAATAAGTAGTATAGTGAACAAGAACACGAGCGGCGACAATCGAATGTATTTTAGCACAACATTACAGAATATCATATAGTGAACAGTTAATTCCCAAAATAACAATCAATCATCTCAATCTTCACTGTTCGTTCTGCAAATATCCATCCATATCTCCAATTATAATTGTTCATGCATTTTCGTACCAATTGCGTGTCGTTTCCCGTTCTCTCCTTATCGTTCTTCTACTGAAATATATTCAATGCCCAACCATCACCATATACTACTAATGTGGATATCAGTAACCCACACTACAGTAGGACTATTCTCATTCATTATATCCAACACTCTCTATCCATCCCCCAACATAAATATCAAATTCATTTGAATGATAAACTATCTACACAATATATATATATATATATATATTAAGGTAATGGTTAGTTATTACTTTATGGCAGTGAAACATGGCCGGTAAGAGTAGAGGGTATTCGTAGGCTACTAGTATTCGATCATAGGTGTCTTCGAAGTATTCCTCGTATATTCTGGAACCACCGGGTAAGTAATGTAGTTGTTAGGAAACGGGTACTAGGTTAGGATGATAAATCGATTGATGAAGTAGTGAAACTTGATCAGTTGAGATGGCTGGGACACGTATTACGTATACTCAACCACCGACTGCCCCGACGTGCAATGTTTCATGGTGTAGGAGTAGGTTGGAAGAAATCTAGGGGCGGCCAAATCAAAACGTGGCACAAATCCATGAAGTCGCTGACAAGTTGACTGAGCCATGTCGGTAGGTGTAGACTACCTGGTTGGGATTGGCGAGATGATAGCAATCGATAGTTAGAGACCTTGAATGACATGGCTCAAAATCGTTTGCAGTGGCGTAGGTGCATCCAGTCTTTGTGTTCTACCAAATTCTAATCTTCTGAATCCTTCATGTCCCTATCTTTTTTCTCTTTCCAAATTTATTTCACTGTATTATTCTCCTTCAATAACATCTTCAAACCCTTATCTTTCACATAATACTTACACTCTTACTACTTCTACGAATATGGGATTTGAATCGACAACTTCATCTCTGTGTTAATGTTGTATGGCAACTGGAACTGATGTACGTATGTACGAAGTTCTACGTTGTAACTGACTGACTGACTGAAATTATTGATTGATTTTATAACTATTATTCATATATATTGTTGAGTAGTAGTAGTAGTCGTCGTAGTAACCCATGGTTTTTAAAATGAATATAAATTTTCGTCGATTGAAGAAATGGAAAACATGATTTATCAGTTTTCTTTTTTACTTTTTTTAAATTACTCTTTATGCCCAGTCAAATGAATCAGTTGGAAAAGGAAAAAGATTATTTTATCTATAAAAGGATTTTTTTTATTCTTTCCATTTCTGTTGTACATCTTTGCAAATCCTTCTTCTTCTTCTTCTCCTCCATATTATCATTACTATTATCAGGAGTTTTTGTGGAGATTTCCCATCTGTTGTGAGATAGGAACTCACTGAAGACAGTTGGTGAACGGTTGCTCAACTTTGTGGATTGGTTGAAGTTAGATATTAACACCATTGGATGCCGGCTCAGTGATCTATTAATTAAGTGCTCTGGTCCGAGACTGATAGGTATGGGTTCAAATCTCGCGAGGTGGGATCGTGTATGCTCACTGCCACTGAGGAGTCCCACAATAAGACGAAATGGCCGTACAGTGTTTTCAGATTTCCCATGGTGGTCTAGCTTCAATTGACTCATGATCTTAACTATAAAATTCCTTCTAAAAACTAGTTTTAATAATAAAATTTTAACTTTGCTTATTTATTTATTACTATTGAAAGTATATCCCTTTTTCTCTCAATGGGCAACACCCATTTTAAGTGACTCATATAATTAAGGCCTAGAAATTTAAAAAGTCATATCATCACTTTTAAAACACGCGCGCCTGTGTGCGTTCGGTTCACATTCTCGCTTCAAGGTTATCTAGTTGTTTATATTATTGAAATATTTGACATTGATTATTTGGTCAATCATTGATTTATATCAATGTTTATAGCAAATAGTAACAGCTGTTGCCAATTTATTTTATTTATTTAAACATAAATATTGGTACGAGGAAGCACCAGATACATATGCGCCTCATGAATCTCATTCGATTTGTGTGAGGGCTGCGATGCTGCCCGGGTGCCCAAACTGAAGCAGGTGGTTTTCTTAGGAGGCCACACCCCGAGCCTTTAACCTGAAGGTCTAGTCCACAAGGCAGTGGAGCATCGTGAGGAGATGCGTTCCCATGGTAGTCGGTGACCAACGATTGATTCATACGCCATTTGTTCCTTTAGAATCCTGGAGCCCATGTATACCATTGGTTTGGAATTAGGGTTTTCCAACTCCCATAGGTGGACTTTCCATGTCCACCAACCCGGTTAAAGCGTCGGACATTCGCTTTTCATCCTCTCAATTTCGTAATCAACAGTAACGCCACGAGAAGGTAGTGAGTAGATCTTCCCTGGTAGAGGCTATATACGTGTGGCCATATGAGAACATATTTATTTAAACACATAAATATTGGTACAAAGGAGTACCAAATACATATGTACCACACAAGTCACTTGATTTGTGTGTGGGCTGCGGTACTGACTGGGTGTCCATATCGAAACAAAAGGTTTTCTTAGGGAATCACACATTCGGAGCTTTCGACATTAAAGTCTAATCCACAAGGTAGTGGAGCAACGTCAGGACATTCAGTCCCATAGTAGCCAGTACCCAAGAATTGGTTCATATGCCATTTGTTAACTCATGATCCTGGAGCCCATGTGCACCATTGGTTTAGAGTCAGAGTTTTCCAACTCTTTTAAGTGAATCCTCTATATTCACCAACCTGTTTAAAGCGCCGTACATTGACTTTTTGTCCCCTCAATTTCGTAGACAAGAGTAATGTCGTGAAAAGTGGTTGAGTTGGACTTTCTTGATAGTGGTTGTGAGACCGTGGCTATGTAAGAGGATCTCGAGAGGAATAGCTGACTCTCCCCATCCTCGACCATACCAGTGCATTTGGAGACACAAGTTGCTGATGAGCAACTTTTTGAAAACCCTAGAACTTCATATATTTATTCTCAATTTTACTATTTAAGTCAATCCATGATTACTAATTTTAACATTATTTCTTGATATTTCCAAAATAATTAATTCATTTTTAAAAATTGAATCGCGTGACTCTTTTCTTATTTGTTTAATAATATAATTCGTATCTAATTTTCATTCTAAACTTTACATCTTAACAATCCTTCTGTTTATACTAAAAATTTTTTTAGATTGAAATCATGAAGGGATCAATGTTAGACCACCTGGTAGCACACTGGTCGGCTATTTTGTTCTAGGATGGGACTCCTCAGTAGTGCGTATTCACCATCACACGCGGGCTCTGAAACCAGGTGTCTCTCGCCAGTTCTTAAACTCTAGACTAATGAGTCGGTATCTAATGGTGTTAATGTTTAAATTCAACCAATCCACGATATTGCACAACCACAACTTTATACTGATAATTATCACGTGTTCTCTAGTGACTAGCTTCCAGAGCTAACTTTTAGGGTTCTATTGAGCAGAGTTCAACCGTGTCGGGTGTGAGACAATTAGCCATCGAAGAAAATGGAAGATGTTCGCACAGTATCGTGGATTGGTTGACGCTAGACATTAACACCGTTAGTTGCCGGTTCAGTGATCTGAAGTTTAAGCGCTCAGTTGATCATACAACGTGTATTTCTCATTGATCCAACACTCTTCAAATTTATAAAAATACTTACTCTAACAGATTTTAATCATCTTGACTAAATTTGAAAGATTAGAATGGGGTTTTATGGATTACTTGAAGTTAGACATTAACACCGTTAGATGCCGGCTCAGTGGTCTAGTGGTTAAGCGCTCGCACGCGAAACTGATAGGTCCTGGGTTCGAATCTCGTTCGTGAGGCGGGATCGTGGATGCGCACTTCTGAGGAGTCCCACGATATTATGAATTGGCCATCCAGTTCTTCCAGGTTTTCCATGATGGTCTTGTTTTAATTGACTCATGATCTCAACTATATTAAATTTAATGACTCCACTGTTTTTTTTCTCTACTTTTTTTCAATTACATATCAATATATCCGAATGGTGATATATGAAGATTGTAGTAATTTCATTAGTTGAATTCATGAATCGATCTAAGCTTAAACCGAACATTCTGAGTTCTAGTTCAGTGTGTGGGGTCGTGGATACGCACTGCTGACAAGTCCCATATTAGGATGATATGTCTGTTCAGCGCCTTGAGGTTTTCAATGGTAGTCTAGCTAGATTGATTCATGAATTCAGCTGTTAAAAAAATATCAATATACATTGAATTTACAAGATTATCACTAAATTAACTAATCATTCTTTATTTTTATTTATTTATTATAGCAATTTTATAATTGTATGCCAACAACTCATTGTACATTGAATCCACCACTTGGACGTTGTCGTTTAGCTATTCTACAATTAATAGCTTCACTTATATCCTTACCTATTAGTACTAATTTATCTAAAACAATTGTAGATATTGGATTTGTGAAAACATCAATGGTAAATTATTATTAATGATTTGTTAAATTTCTTTTGTTATCAATAATTTATATCGAAAATGAATTGTCAGTTAATCAGTCAGTTACAACATAGAACTTTGTACGTACGTACATCAGTTCGAGTTGCCATACCACATTAACACAGAAATGCAGTTGTCGATTAAAATCTCATAGTGGTAGAAGTAATAAGAGTATAAGCAGTGATCTGAAAGATTAAGGTTTTAAGATGTTATTGAAGGAGCTTGATCCAATGAAATAAATTTGAAAAGAGGAAAACGATAGAGACCTGAAGAATTCACAAGATTAGAATTTGGTAGAACACAAAGACTGGATGGACCTTCACCATTGCAAACGATTTTGAGCCATGTCATTTAAGATCTCTAACCATCAATTGCTATTATCTCGCGAATACCAACCAGGTAGTCTACACCCACCAACATGACTCAGTCCAATTGTCAGTGACCTCATGGATTTATGCCACATTTTGGTCTCGCCGTCCCTAGCTTACTTCCAAACTACTCACTGACCAATCAATGTAAGAAATTATTACTTGTTATAAAATGTCGATTGTACACAATAAACAAGCTTCTGTACAAGATCTTTTAATAATTCATTATATGATTATTATATTTAGCTATGTAGTGCTATACTTTCGTTGTATTGCAGTTCATATTTCATTAGTTTATTCTGGTCATGTAAACTATCACATCATCAGAACGAAATTTAGTCAACAACAGTTCTAGGGAAGCATGAATTATATGGAAGGAATATATTATGTTTGTTGTTAGGTAGGTATGTATAGAATAACATTCAACTCAAAGTTTTTAATTAAAAAAAAGAAATGCCTACATCTTATCTAGTAAATATGAGTTATTGTATCTAAATTCCTTAACAGTAGGTTACAGTTTATTTTATCAACTTCTGTTAGGATATATGTTACACATCGATGCCAGTGATTTCCATTCTTCTCTTGACATTTTTATTCTGCCTTGTAGTATTGTACATCACTATAGGAGGTAGCTAAACTTGCTTAACACTTTTCTAATTTGACAATTAATCTTAGACCTATTCTTGCAGATGTAAATGCCTATTATACAATGAAGATATTTGTTTATTGTCCCATTTGGGACTCATCAACTTGATATACCTAAACATCAATGAGAAAATTTAAACAAACAATACAAAATCAAACAAATATTGATACATTCTATTTGTTTTCTAACTTAGATCGTGATTAAGCTACAAACTATCCTGTGATCAGGTTTTGAAGTTCGCGTAAACATCTACTAACTACTATCTGACCAAATTCACCTAGTATTACTTGTTTGAATCTTCACATTGATGCTTAGGTCTGCAACTGGTCAGTTTCTTATTGGCATATGTTCATACTGTGCGTATTGCCTCGATATAGCCTTAATTCACAAGCATGGTAAGCAGAGATGGATAGTAGCTAGCAGTGGAATCCAGTTTGACGCGCGTTTCTTCCTATTTGCGACTCGTTAGCTGGATGTACCGGCATCTCAGAGTTGATGTTCGCTCAGGGACTCGAACCCAGTACCTTTCGCTTTTTAACTCCATCGCGTTATCCACTCAGCTACTGAGTCCTGATAGCCACTTTCTTGTGCTTATGAATCAGGGCTATATCGAGGCAATACGCACAGCATGCACTTATGACAATAAGAGACTGACCAGTTGCAGACCTAAACATCATTTGGAAGATTCAAACAACTAATACTAAGTGAATTTAAACTTCACCCCATCGCACAAGCAAGTGGCGTTTGAAGGGAAAATTACTGGGTTCAAGTTCCAGAGTGAACATCAACTCTGGGATACAGGTACATCCAGCTGACGAGTCCCGAATAGGACGAGGTGTCGCGCGTCCTGGATTCCACTGCTAGCAACCATCCATCTTTGCTTACTATCTGATCAGTTCATCTATAAAAGTATAGTTTTTTCCACTATTTTTTTCTCTGGAGTAAAAGTTAAATGTACAAATGACCAAATTTTATCATAAATCGTATTGGTCTGTAATGAATTGAATAAACACTTATCCTATTTCCCTCCTTTCTTTCTTTCTTTCTTTCTGAATATATACATGTTTATACTGATAGGAATTATTCGCCTTATATCCATACAATACATTTTTACATCATTATGTAACTGATATTATTAAATCAATATTTAAACATTCAGGACTTGTCAACAGCAACAATAATAATAATGGTAATAACTCTACTAATGTATCGGATAAAACAACAACTAATCTTATCAATACTACTACGACTACTAACAGTACTAATACTACTACTGCTAGTACTAATACTGTTAAACTATCTTCTAATCATGATGACAATCAACTTACAGAATCTTTATCCTCTTCAATATTATCAGCAGCATCAGCAGCTGATTCGTCTACGAATCCCTTTACAACTGAACCAGTTAATTCTAATGTAATCCATTCAACAAATTCATCCAGTACTAATGAACTTGATTCACATGATCATTGTATACCATCACATAATAATACCATTAATAATCCATTTTATTCAATGAATCAAAATTATAATGAATTTAGTAAAAATATATTAATTAATTTAATTAAAGATCATCATCTTATTGATTGGTGTTTGAAATTATCCCCTTTACCATCATTAGATGAACGGTAAGTTATATAAGTAAATCAGTAGTCTATAAAATGTGTTTTATTTTATTATGTTATCATTAATAGTTGATTAGAAAATGATCATATATTTACTTTTTTTAAATTGTTGATTGTTTTAGTGTATGAATTCAATCCGGATATTGAAAAATATACTTACTGACTTATTTACACTTGTTGTCCCTCGTGGAGGAGCTTATGCCGCACACCAGTATTCGTCACTCAACTCTGTCCTGGGCAATCCTTCCCAGATTTTTCCAGTTGTTATTCATCCTTTTCATATCTGCTTCCGATTCCCGACTCAGTATATTCTTTGGCCTTCCTTCCCTTCCGGATTCCAAGTTAGGGATCGCCTCGTTATGTAGTATAGTGATTTTCTTAATGTATGTCCTATCCACTTCCGACTTCTTTTCCTAATTTCCTCTTCAGTTGGAAGCTAGTTTGTCCTCTCCCACAGAAGGCTGTTGCTGATAGTATCCGGCCAGTGTATGTTGAGTATTTTGTATAGACAACTGTATATAAATACGTGTACCTTCTTAACGATGGATGTGGCAGTTCTCCATGTTTCAGCTCCGTACGGTAGAACTGCCTTGACGTTCTTATTAAAGATTCTCACTCTGAAATAAGTTGACAGTTATTTCGAGTTCCATATGTTCTTCAATTGTAGAAATGCTGTGATTACTTTGCCAATCCTCACTTCTACATTTGCATCAAATCCTTCTTATTCATCAATAATGCTTCCCAGGTATGTGAATGTTCCCACCTCTTCCAGAGTTTCGCCATCAAGTGTGAGTGGGTTGGTGTTCTCCGTGTTGCATTTGAGAACCTTGCATTTTCATTTGTGTATATTGAGGCCTATTGATGCAGAGGCTGCCGCTTCATTTGCTCTCTTGGTCTGTATTTGTTCGTGTGTATGAGAGAGGAAGGCTAGGTCATCTGCGAAGTCTAAATCGTCTAATTGATTCCGAGATGTCTATTTATTATTTCACTCGTCAACACTACAATGAATTTGATCAAGTTAAACGAATGATATTACCATATGGAATTAATGAATATTGAATGCATTCTATATCCTAAATCTGTATCATTCGAAATCTAGAATTTGGAAAGCATAAATCATTTGTTTTCAACTTCTTTAACTAACTGATATTATGTTCACTGCAAATTATATAGGCCTTGTGTTCCTTCTTCGATGGGGTTTCAGGTACTTGCTGTTTCAATCAAATTTTTTAAAAAAGCTGTCCGACACTCCTTTCTTCCACGGATATCCGTCTCCGGCGGTAAGGTCCCAACAAGTACGGAGCTAACACAAAAAGGTCGTGTGTAACCGACCTCAAGCAGTTGTCCCTTGGGCACTGCTGTCACGCTCTCAGTTCATTAAGACCACTTCTACTCTACCTCTAGAAGAACCCTTCCACGAAGTGGGCAACCGGGAAGTGATAACTGCCCTCATACCTCTAAAAGCACTCAAGACCACTGTATTCATAATCAATCTCCTTCTTCACTTCCTACTATTTCTTCTACCTCGACTGACTGAGTTTTTAATCATAACTAACTTTCTTTTTAAACAATTTTCTATAAACAAATAACCATCATAGACGGAAAGACACAAACATAATTAAGTTAGTATTTCTTTTGTTGGCAATAAATGGTGTATTGATCTAAGCTGTCACATATTTCACATCAGTTTAGAGAAAGAAGAAACCAAAAAAAAACTATTTCATACAAATCATTTTTAAAATATAAAGAAGAATATTATATTAATAGAATAATATTAATAATGTTAATAAGTGTAGACTATCTACCTGGTTGGGATTCGCAAGGTGATAGCAATCGATGGTTAGAGACCTTGAATGATATGGTTGAAAATCGTTTGCATTGGCGAAGGTGCATCCACTCTTTGTGTTCTACCAAATTCTAATCTTGTGAATTCTTCAGGTCTCTATCGTTTTTCTCTTTTCAAATTTATCTCACTTTATTATACTCCTTGAATAACATCTTCAAACCTTAATCTTTCGGATTACGGCTTATACTCTTATTACTTCTACCACTATGAGATTTTAATCGACAACTGTATTTCTGTGTTAATGTGGTATGGCAACTCGAACTGATGTACATACGTACGTACGTACAAAGTTCTACGTTGTAACTGACTGACTGATTTTTCTGTTAATAAATGTTGATCACATTCTTTCAGTCAAGTAGCAATTTTGTCTGTAGTCTAATTCGACATCATGTATGTGCAGTGTATTTTCGAATCAATGTGTCAATGTGGTATGGCAACTCGGACTGATGTACGTACGTAAAAAGTTCTATGTTATGACTAACTGAAGATGAATGAAATAATAGGGGAGAAAGAATGAGAGGGAAGTTCAAATATGAAGTAACTTCATCATGGTAAAAATGTATAGGAAGAAATAAAATCAATATTATGATAGTGATATTGACTTTTGGTTCATATTCATAGACTGTAAAACTAATACTTTAAGTTGGTGATAAACTTTTTGTTCTGTATTAACCTACTACACTTTGAATCATCTGATATTCTTTATTAATATTGGATTATTATATCAACCACTTTTAAAGCAACTTTTTTTATAAGCACGATGGTCTACTGCCTTGTGGACTAGACCTTCAGGTCAAAGGCTCGGGGTGTGGCCTCCTAAGAAAACCACCTGCTTCAGTTTGGGCACTCGGGCAGTATCGCAGCCCTCACACAAATCAAATGAGGTTTGTGTAGCGCATATATATCTGGTACTTCCTTGTACCAATGTTTGTGTGTTTAAATAAATAAATATTGTATTCCGATAACTTTGGTAGTACTTTGATTATTTTCAGTTCGTTCAGTACTTTTCAACTGAAAAGCACACTGATATTTATCAATCTTATTTCAGTTTGCTAGTATCCATATCATTGTACTTTCACGTGTAAAACCATGCATAGTCGTTTTCAGGTTTTTATATAGTTGGAAAATAAACTTGACTGATTTCTATCATGGAATTACGTCAGATCAGATTGATTAACATGATTTACGTCTTATATGAAAGTTTCGCTGACAAATTGAAGTATGGTCATTGTATGACAGAGTAATTAGACCTGTTATTCTGTTGAATGTTGAATGCACATTTAGTTTACTGCAATACAACTGTCGATTTCCTAATTACGCCTGTATTCCTCAACAGAAAAAAATAATCTATTTGTGTTACAAATTCATTTACATTGTCTTTTGAATCTGTGTACTAAAGTAATGAATTAGACATATTTGCATTTTGTTCATCTAACCTCCTTTTATTGATTGTCCTGAGTTGTAAAGGTTCATATTAACTCATTGTTGAAATTCAGGATTACATTTTATCAGTCTTTTTTTGACAGACTAACACCTTGCTTCGATACGGGCGGTCTGCCTAAACATCTGGGCTACCTGTTCCCGTCATCTATATATTTCAACAAGTTATCTAATATTGTTTGTTTGAATACATCATTATGGCTATTAAGCACACAACCTATTCCGGTGCGTTTCCGAAAACTGTACAACCTTTCAAATTCAACTTAGTATTGTTTGTTTGAATCTTCCCATCGATTTGTTAGGACTGCAACTGGTCAGTCTCTAATTGGCATATGTGCATACTGTGCGTATTGCCTCGATATACCTTAATTCACAAGCATGGTTAGCAGAGATGGATAGTGGCTAGCAGTGGAATCCAGTTTGACGCGCGTTTCGTCCTATTTGGGACTCGTCAGCTGGATGTACCTGCATCTCAGAGTTGATGTTCACTCTGGGACTCGAACCTAGTACCCTCGCTTCAAACGCCATCGCGTTATCCACTCGGTCCTGGATTCCACTGCTAGCCACTATCCATCTCTGCTAACCATGTACAACCTTTCGCTGTAAAGGTTTTAAAGGACCTAATCAGAGATGTCGTGTTTGCTGGGAACATGCAGCAAAAAGAATATATATTATTCATATGTCGATTGACTGAACTGCTGACATCCAACTGGCGATCACTGAATGTTTATCATCAGGAGCAACGGTGAAATAAGAAACGTAAACATGTTGAAATACTTTATGCTGAGAATTCGATTTTGTACCAAATAATATAATATTGAATAAAGCTAATAATAATATCACTGTTGACTATAAATGGATGATATCTTGCATTTAGTTACATGCTTTCGTATGTAATACTCTTTGACTACGGTACATCATTCAACCTGACATAAATCAAAACAAGAAACTGTAACAACAGTGTATATCAATTTTGAAAAGTATTTACCATTATAAAATTTTATTGTTTTCTCAATTGACCGACTAACATTGATTACTTTAAATAAATTAACCAACATATTCGAATCTAGTTATGCAGGCAATCATTTCCAACTCATTCTCCAATAAAATGTACACTATAAGTTATTCCTTATATTTGAATGTGTGGTAAATAATAACTCAAGTAGATAAAACTAATTTATTATTTGATATAAAATTGCACAGTGGTCTCGTAAAATATAAAAATCATAATCAAAAGGTGTTTTGTGGAGATTTCAGTATTTTCATAGTTGAAATCATGAATCAATTGAAGCTAGACCACCATGAAAAACCTGGAAGCATTGGACGGTCGTTTCGTCTTATTATGGGACTCTTCAGCAGTACGCATCCACGATCCCACCTCGAGAGATTCGAACCCAGAACTTACCAGTCTTGCAGGCGAGCACTTGACCGATAGACCACTGAGTCGGCAATCAACGATGTTAATGTCTAACTTCAACCAGTCCACAAAGTTTGAGTAACCGTTCACCAATTGTCTTCAGTGAGTTCTCATCTCATAACAGACGTGGTTGAACTCCACTGGTCACTGCTTCCCACTTGAACATACATTAAATGCAACATTTACACATCTTCTATCAATTGTGTTTTTCCCATACTTCATGATTCTTACGATTGTCTTCTATTTCTTTTCTTGTTATCTTCAATTTAATCTTCTGCTAGCATACAACCCACTACCGATTTTTGTTACATACTACTTATATCTGTCAGTATAAGCAGCATACACCACAGATGTGCTTGTATGTCATACTTAGGGTTTTTACTCTCGTAGACATTTTTTAGTAAACGATAATGATACTTTGTTCAATTCTCAGTATATGTATTGTGAACTAAGAAATAGTTACATCCAGTAGATAAGTCCTAGATAATTTGTAACGTAAGTCTTGGATCCAAGATATAATCATTTTCTTCTGATTAATTGTTGTACATGTTGATTGTATATAGTTTTTCACTATCATTATTACCTTTAGTCCGAATGATGGGGATTCACCGAATTGTTTAGTTCGACTATCAAAAGATCCTGTAAAATCAGGTTATTCAGGACATATCTGGCAAATTGGTAACCTAATTGTATCAGCAATGAATGGTCCGTATGGAGAATTTTTAAAATCTCTCATTCAAGGTATTTTTTTCACTATATGACTACTATTCATGAATATCCCAACCACTTCGAATAAAAATTAGCAACTTCATTAATGTACTTTGCAATTTCACCTCGTACTCCAAGCCTAATAATGTAATGGGGAATACATAGATGTATTTCAGATATTACACCTTGATAATTATGTTACATAGATGTATGTCTGTATACCACATTATTTTATTTATTTGAACACATAAATATTGGTACAAAGGGGCACCAAACCTAAGCAGGTGGTTTTCTTAGGGGGCCACACCCCGATCTTTGACCTGAAGGTCTGATCCACAAGGCAGTGGAGCATCGTAAGGAGATGTATTCCCATGGTAGCCAGTGATCAACGATTGGTTCATACGCCACTTGTTCCCTCAAGATACTGGAGTGCATGTGCACCATTGGTTTGGAATCAGTGTTTTTCGTAGAAACTTATCACTGATAAAATTAATTAAAATAAGTGAAGATAGACAAATTTGGCGGGGGTGCTGGTTACGAAATTGAGAGGTCGTGAAGTGAATGTCCGACGCTTTAACCGGGTTAGTGGACACGGAAAGTCCACCACATAGAGAATTGTCAACCAATGTATCTGACCTTTTTAAATACTCTATGAATTGTCTACTAACTTTTTCAAACCGTTAATATCGATATTTGTTTAGTGATGGATTACAATCACAAGATTTATTCATTGAATATGAACTTTTATGTAAATTTGGAGTCAAAGAAAAAGTGTGTGTGCATGTGTGTTACGTATAGAAAGCATATGAATTCATTTAAAACTTATATTATCACTTAAAGTACATTGCGCGGTTATATCCAATGAATAAGAGGAATTACCAAGTTCTAATTAGATTCTATGCCCTTAAATTAACTTCTTTATCCATCCTTCTCGAAATGCTCTCATATGTCCATGTGTATACAACCACTGTCAGGGTAATACTACTCACTGCCTTTTCGTGGCATTACTCTTGTTTACCAAATTGAAACGACGGAACGCGAATTTCCGGAGCTTTAACCGGGTTGATAGATATAGAAGATCCTCTTAAAAGGGTTGGAAACCATTGATGCACATGGGCTCTAGGATCCTGAATGAAGAAATGGTGTATGAATCGGCTACCATGGCACTGCATGTTCTGACGTTGCTCCACTACCTTGTGGGTTAGACCATTGGGTCGAAGTCTCGGAGAGCGGCCTTCTAAGAAATGCACCTGCTTCGATTTAGGCACCCGGTCAGTATCCCAGCCGTCACACAAATCGAATGATTTATGTTTATCATACATTTAGTCACAAAACGTCAGAAATACAACTTTCTACTCATTGAGATATCACAAAATAATGTATATTTATTGTTACCTGTATGCATTTAAATCGTTGATGATGATTACTAGTTGGACTCCAACTATAAAGACGTTATACCTACTAAGATGATTTAGCCCAATAGTTAATATATTTATTGAATTATATTTCAGTTTCAGTCTATTTGTATTCTATCCACTATTGCATGTTTAGCACAACCTGGTAACTGGGCATTAATAACATATATCATATTCCCATTTCAGTCAATGATTTTTTCTTTGAAATTATTTACATATTCGTGTTATGCTATATCACACCTAGACTCATAATAATGGGTGGTATATATCAGGATGTAGTTGGCATATGACTGACTGATTGATAACATCATATTTCAGCTTCTTATTTTGTCTTTATGACATAGACAAACGTTTTAAAGTTCAACCTCTTCAAGTTCCTGAAATTTATTGAATCATTCAGACCGATTTCTCTCAAATTACTAGAGTTAATCCTAAATGAATATGGTTTTACCGAGGTTTTATGTGAAGAGAGCGTAAAGAACCTGACGTTTCTTGTAATCACTACACTTATCACTATCAGAAGGGGTTTTTTGTGGAGATTTTAGTACTTTCATGGTTGCAAGGGTGAGTCAATTGAAGCTAGGCCACCAAGGAAAACCTGGAAGCACCAAACGACTGTTTCGTCCTACTGCGGGACTCTGCAGCAATGCCCATCCACACTTATCACTGTAGGTTTTTTTACAGGCGAAATTTTTAATAATTTTGTAAAATTTATTTTTTATTTTCAAGATTTAGATCCGAAGACTCAAAATCTATGGTCAGATTTTGTCAAAGATCTCAATGTGATCAACTCTGTTGAAGTTGCTGAGGTAAATGGAGTAAAAATGTTAATTCTGCTATATATTCTAGCTTCTGAAGTCTTTTTTTCTATTTCATTTATACAGTATACGTTCCAGATTTAACTTAAAGCCACACTGTTTAGTTGTGCAATAAGTCAGTTAGTCACAACGTAGAACTTCGTACGTACGTACATCAGTTCCAGTTGCCATACCACATCAGCACATAGATGCAGTTGTCGATTCAAATCCCATAGTGGTAGAAGTAGTAAGAGTATAAACAGTAATGTGAAAGATTAGGGTTTGGAGATGGTATTTAAGGAGTATAATCTAGTGAAATAAATTTGGAAAGAGAAAAACGATAGACATGAAGAATTCAAAAGATTAGAATTTGGCAGAACACAAAGAGTGGATGCAACTACGCCATTGTAAATGATTTTGAGTCATGTCATTCAAGATCTCTAACCATTGAATGCTGTCATCTCGCCCTCATACCCGTAACTACGCACAGTTGTGCAATAATATTTCTTAACACTCCTTTATCTTGTAGTATATACTTTATTAGGTAATAACAATAAATCCCTCCAGCTGTCTATTCATAAGATTTTCAACCTCTACTATCACAGTTGTAATTGTGACCATTTGTTTAGTCTTTAGTATTGATCGATTTTATATTGATCACTGTTATAATGTATGTACCTGAGTGCCCTGTTTATATATGACGTGACGATGCCGCCAATTAAAGAGCAGTGATTTATCGGTCGGACCAGTGACATACGAAACCCGTGCGAGCAGTCTAGAGTACTTGTTGGTACTGATTTCTGCCTAGCCTAGCCAGTTAAGTTCAGAACAGTAATAACAGTCTCTGCAATATGAATCATTATTCTCTGGGTTTATATACCAATCAAACAGACCACATCGTACCACAAAATAGAAAATAACATTTGTACAAGATTTGGCCAAATGTGGTTGTGAATAGGGAGGAGAATTAATCAATAGACTGGGGATAATTCAAGAACGGTAAATCGTACAGTAGTAGTTTATGGGTCAAAATCAAGCGTATAGTAAGAGGAACGTGAATATGAATAGTTAAGTTACTTAACAATTATACAATAGGAAATATACATATCATATTGGTCCATAAATAGTCTTCAAAAGTTACCCTTCACAATTCTCCCCTCGCGGTATAACAATAACATTCTACATATTTTTCGTTTCTCTTCACAGGTTTATTTGCTGTAGAACTGTTTCTCCCATAGATTTCATTGTTCCTTTCTTTTTTTTTGAAAAAATTCTTTTTCTAGACATCTCAATCTGCCATTGAAGGTCTTAATCATTCTGAGTAAGTTGACTTCCACTATTAATTTGCTAACTTTTTTTCATTTTTATTCATTGCGTAACGTATTGATTTCATAATATTATTATCTCCATCATCCCTTTTAATATTATTATTATTATTATTATTATTATTATTATTATTTGTTTAAACGGATAAAGATCGTATGCTCACTAGTGACTGGCTCCATGAGGTAATTCCTGGAGTTATAATGAGAAGTTGTGGCCAGTGGAGCTAATCCATGTCAGGTAGAGACAGGTATCTACCTCAGTATAATGGAAGTTGGTCGCGCAATTTCGTGGATTTGTTGAGGTTAGACATTAACACCGTTGGATGCCGACCTGCTCAGTGGTCTATCGGTTAAGTGTTCTGGCGCGAGACTGGTAGGTTCTGGGTTCGAATCTTGCGGGGCATTGCTGAGGAAACCAACAATAGGACGAAACAGTCGTCCAGTGCTTCCAGATTCTCCATGGTGGTCTAGCTTCAATTGACTCATGATCTCAACTATATAAAATTACTAAAATCTCCACAAAACCCCCTTGTGATAAACGGATAATTTTAGTGGTTAAAATCATGAGTCAATTGAAGTTAGACCACCTTGGAAAACCTGGAAGCACTGGACGGCCGTTTCGTCCTATTTTGGGGACCCTTCAGCAGTGCGCATCCACGATTCGGCCTCGTGGTATTCGAACCCAGGATCTACCAGTCTTGCGCCAGAGGACTTATTATCAGCTTTTTTTTACCCATAGATTATTACTGTTGGAGTTATACATATATATATATATATATATATATATATATATATTTGATACCGTTTCTAGCCACCTTGTGACATCAACTCTGCGACCCTAACTAGGAAGTTTTGAAGGTCCGACAGATTTCAGTTCTGTAAAGCCTACTTTCATACCACAGTATCATATCATAAACTGACCATCTCTCTACTTTTTCAAATCAGTTTCAGGGTTGGCTAATAATGCACAATGTGGAATTTGATAGGATAACATTCATAGGATATATCCAGGTCACCGAAATCTGTGTCTCAAGATCGTTGACACCAATTGAATTGTGCCCGTGCACACGTTGATGAATTTATGCATTCTAACATGGTGTTGCCATTGGATTTCAGCAATCCTTCGGAGATAACGATGATCAAACACAGAGCATTGCCTAACATTTTCACCTCGAAGAGGTTCATTTGTGACAAACTTTATGATGAAATTCTCAAAGTCTCTAACTCATAGGTCATAACCGCTGAGTTTGTGCTATATTGGTAATTAGACATGTATAATTACAGAGGATATTCGAAATGATTATCGCTCTGTTACGATAAGTAGACTTACCAACTTATTAAATGGATTAATTATTGAATAGATGTAAGGTTCACTTTGTTTTATCTAATTAATCGTTTATGTCGATCGCCTCATGTACACGTACGCTTCTCTAATAGAAAAACTTACAACTTACCACGCCTGTTACAATTGCATGAGAAATATATGCTGTTACGTTTGCAAACTTAAACGTGTAAAATTAAATGATTGCTAATTACTGTTGAAAAAGTCTATACATTTTTTGAAGTGGTTAGTAATATTTTCTGTACTGACAACTCTGTACTCGAACTGATGTACGTACGTACGAAGTTCTACGTTGTGACTGACTGACTGATACTCGAATCCAACATACGGTTCTGAACAAATTAATTTCCAATCATCATGTAATTCATTTACTAATTAAGTAAGTTCTTTTATTATTCTCTGAACAGTAATCTAGGTATGCTAGGTTTAAACTCTTAGGCTGTTAAAATAAAAAAGATTAGTCGTGACACTGTTCAGCGGAAGGTGGCATAAGACTTGTGACTTATTTGGTAGCCGGTCCGTACGTAACTTTGATGATATCTGTCATGTAAGGTAATATGATACTACAAACACAACTCCTGTTCAATCTTGGTGCGAGCCTTGTTGTGTTGTTAAGGGAAAATTGAAGAAATAGCTAGTGGTTGGTTTGATATTATCGAATTACTCATAAACATTTTTGGATCCTCTATTCACGAGTCCATTAATCCACAATGACTTCTGTAGTGGAGAATCATTTGTCATTTGAGCTCCATTTGTGTGATGTCATGCTTTTTATTTATTTATTTAAACACATAAATATTGGTACAAAGGGGTACCAGATACATATGCGCCACACAAATCTCAATTGATTTGTGTGAGGGCTGTGATACTGCCCGGGTGACCAGAGCGAAGCAGATCTGATCCACAAGGCACTGGAGCATCGTGAGGAGATGCAGTCCCATAGTAGCCAGTAACCGACGATTGATTCATACGCCACTTGTTCCAGCAGGATACTGGAGCCAGCCCATGTGCACCATTGGTTTGGAATCAGGGTTTTCCGACTCCCCTAGGTGGACTTCGCGTGTCCACCATTCCTGTTAAAGCGCCGGACATTCGTTACTCGCTTGCATGACCCGTGAGAATGTAAGGTTAACACTTCGTGGTTGAACTACTGTTTTAATGTTAAACATGACTTTAACCTTGTAAAAATCATTACAGTTTGTGTTGAATAGCCACATAATTAGATCTTTATATTATACTGGCATGCATGTACTCAACTTTTATTCTGAAAATTGTTCTGTACTGTAGTAGTTTTCCAAAAAGACACAAATATCTACACATAGAGCACATCCGATCGTGTGTATTAGAATGTTTTCGAAATTCACATTATCCGTATTATATCTCATTTTGATTCGAATGATAGCCAATAATGAAACTGTAAATGAACATTTCATCCTTATTATTAATAATAATAATAATAATAATAATAATAATAATAATAATATATTCTGAAAATAATATTTACAGAATTCACACCAGTTTACAGGCATGATCAGATTGTTATAAAAATCAACATTTAATGTAGAGAACAAATATGAATTATAAGAAGGTTTTATGTTTGCTGGTTTAGTAATTGATAAACAGTTTAAATATGGCATATATCACGGCAAGCCAATGCAACACCAGGGAACTTGTCATTTTTTCATCAAGTGGATAGCCTGATGATTGACCAACATTATTCTGTAAGGTTATTACCAGTGACAAAGCGAGTTATTATTAATTATCTACAACTAGAGAAAGTAAGATTAAAGCAAAGAGCACGGAACAACAAAACAATGATAGCAAGTAAGAAGTTAAACATTTAAAGTTCCTATAATCTCACTTGTGGAGTAAGATACACTTGCAGGCGCTAGAGCATTTAATGTATTTTCAGAGGAGCAAAAAGCATTAATTGAGCGAACAAATAATGGGAAAGAGTTTAACATACGGATAGTTTGGGGTAAATTATTCCAGAGTCTAGAAAACTTACAGGTAAAGTAATTCATATAGAGAGAAGACCTAGAATATGTTTGTTTCGCTAAAGACAAGGAGTTACGAATGTCGTAATGTGAAGCCTTAGCATATTGAATCGCCTGACTGGATGCGAAGGAGAGTTTGTTAAGTATTTTGAAAAAGAAGATAAGGTTAAGTTTCAGTCTCCTCATCCATAAAGGGTCAAGCCCTAGTTTACTACACCTCGAATTATATGTCAAGACACTATCAGTTCCAAGAGTACGAAGTGTAAATCGTCTCTGTACTGATTCCAGTCTTAATTTATCCTTTATGCGCGTGCTACTAAGGAGAAACGCGCAGTATTCGAGGAGTGGTCGAACACAGACTTTGTACATTAGAATACGGGATTCGCTGTTATGAAGGTTTCGAGTTATGAAACCTATAAGGCGTTGAGACTTGGACGTTTGTTTCATTACCTGTTCAGTAAACGACAAGTCATCGGAGTACCTAAGCCCTAGATCTACTACTGTGTGTAACCTAGATAACATTTCCCCATTTATGGTAAGATTAAGGTTGAGTGATGTATCACCGAAGCATAGCCAACCACATTTAGCTGTATTGAGCTCCAGCTGCCATTTTGAGCACCACTGTGCTACCTTGTTAAGCTCCGTGCTGATGCAATTTCGAATATTGCTCAGCTCATGTGGAGAAAATGAGTACACCACCTTAAGATCGTCTGCAAACAAAAGGGACTTATCCACACTAAAACACTCACAAATGTCATTAATGAAAACTAAAAAGAGCAAAGGACCTAAGACACTACCCTGAATTACCCCACTTCTAACAGGGACTGCGTTCGACAATGAAGAGTTGATTTTAACTATTTGATGTCGATTGCTGAGGAAGGAATCAAACCAGGCTAGTAACGGGTTTTCGACCCCATAAGATGCGAGTTTACCTATGAGAAGTTGGTGGTTGACCATGTCGAAGGCCTTAGAAATGTCCAGGTATAGCACTAATACTAGATATCCTTGGCTACGAAGCGAATAGACTAAATTAAAGAAGTCAAAATGACATGTCATACAAGATCGATTTTTAAGAAATCCATGTTGCGAATCACCAATAAATTGTTCAGTCAATAAATAGTTGGATAGTTCGTCACTAATAATTTTTTCCATAATCCTAGAGATAACTGGAGTAATATTTATTGGCCGATAGTTGTTCATGTCAGTCTTATCTCCAGATTTGTAACGTGGTATGATGTACGCGGTTTTCCAACGGTCAGGATAAGAGCCTGATTCCATAGAGAGGGTAAACAGTTTAAGGAGAAGAAGTTGGATATCTGGACCACCATATTTGTAGAGAAATGATGAAATCCCGTCTGCACCGTGACCTTTCGAAACCTTGAGCTTATTTATAACCTTACTAATTTTCAGACATGTGAAGGAGATAGATGTTATTGATGTTATTGATAGATGTTATTATTCTACTCGTTAGCTGAATATTCTAAAAAAACGATATGAACGATCAAAATTATTAGTACGAAGAAAGCTAGGGGCGGCCAGACCAAAACATCGCACAAATCCATGAAGTCGCTAACAAGTGGTCTGAGCCATGCTGGAGGTGTAAACTATCTGGTTGGGATCCGTGATATGATAGCAACCGATGGTTAGAGACCTTCAATGACATGGCTCAAAATCGTTTGTAATGGTGAAGGTGCATCCAATCTTTGTGTTCTCGCATACTGTAATCTTGTGAATTCTTCATATCCCTATCTTTTTTCTCTTTCTAAATTTATTTCACTGTATGATACTCCTTCAATAACATCTTCAAACCCTAATCTTTCACATAATGCTTATACTCTTACTACTTCTACTACTATGAGATTTGAATGGACAACTGCATCTGTGTGCTAATGTGGCATGGCAACTCGAAGTGATATACGTACGTACGAGGTTCTACGTTGCTACTGACTGACTATATATACACTCAGTTCTGTATGTTTTTTTGCATTTTCTCATTTATCCTATTTTATTTGTTTCCTATATCCTTATATCATATAGTGTCCCATTTGTTCTGGCACCTGTTACATCATCAAATTTAATGCAAAATAAATTATTAGATCTCAATGGAAAATCATCATCTTATTTATTTGATGATGTTGATAATAATGAACATGAAGAATATGGTAAAACTAATCATGAATATCTTGCTTATCATCCAGTAATATCAGCATCTACATTAGTTAATCTTCAACGACAATCTATTTTACAAAATTTTATGGATTCATGGTTAGATCCAGATGAAGAATCTGAACATAATGATAATGTTAATAGTAATAGTATTTATGATCAGAATAATAATCCATCTGAAGAAAAAGATCAATTTAAACCATCTGATGATATCCATATTGGTGTTCCTGGACCTTTAGGAGAAATGTATTTCAATCATAATAGTGATAGCGATGGTGATTATTTCAATGGTGATAATAATGAAGATGACGATAAAGATGAGAATGATGAATTAGACAAAAGCAAAGACAATATTCACAGTAGAGGTTACTGTAACAGTGATGAGGACGACGATGATGAAGAAGATCTTAAGTCACCAGTTCAAATTAAACAACAACATTCCAGTAAACAATCAATCAGTAATGCTAATAGTTCAACATCTGTGGTGTATAATCATTCAAATGAGTTCACTGAAGGTGAGTGCATTACTTACTTAGGACTATAAATTATCTAGATGCTTTATTCTATATGTATTATCATTCGGTTAAAATTAACCAACTAGAAACGTTTTTAGCATTGATCATCTATAAGACATATTTTTCCAATACCTCTTGACTTCCTGGTACTACTGCCTACCTCAAAATCTTCGTAGATCCCCTCTTGTTTATAGCCTCTTCTCAGGATGTACTAGTCGTTCTTTTTGCGTGGTAGCGTGTTTCCACAGACCTAAGAGGGTGATAGTGAGAGTTCAACCCTTGAGCAACGTTTATGGTTTTATTTTTATTTAAACTCATACATATTGGTACAAGGGCACCAGATACATATGCGCCACACAAAATAATGAAAATAGGAAGAGAAAGGATGAAGAGATAAGGGGGACTGAAATGTACAACGAGAAGAACTCTCTCAGTTAAGAAAGTAATAACCACTCTTTATGAAGAGATTAAAAGAAAGTTGCAACAGGCTCGCCACTGGCTTCTATTCTGAGCCATATCTGATAACGTCTCTAGCCACTGTGTTGCACCATCTCTCGGATCCCAGCCAGGGAGTCGTGAAGGACCAACGGAAGCTAGCCCTTTGCAGTTTTCTTTCATGCCACGACACCATGTCATACACTGACCTCCTCTCCGCTTTTTCCAACCAGTCCCAGGGTCGGGTAATAATGCACGACGTGGAATTCTCTGGGACGACATTCGTAGAACATGTCCAAGCCACCGAAGTCGGTGTTTGAAGATGGTGACACCAATTGAATTATTGTCTCTGCGCCCGAACACACGATGCCGAAACTGTGCATTACTAACATGGTGTTGCCACTGGATGTATATATACACATATGATCAAATAAATCGATAGAATAAGAATAATGGTTGTTGTAAACAATGAAAATTTAATGAAATGAAAGATGATATAAAGGATAAAGTAAAACAATGGGTATAAGATAACAAGATATTGATAATCAGAGCAGCATTAAGTGGATACAGTTCAAGGTTGATACTACCAATTTCACATACATTAACAATCTGATGTTGTTCTGTCTATTTATTAATCCGGATAATACTGAGAGATTTGCTGTATTATCTATATTCATGATTTATCTGTCCATGGTATTAAGTAGTCTGTCGACAGAAAATTTTGGACTTTGATTACATACTAGTTGACATTCGTTCTCAAGATGTGATTGTAACTTTAGAAGAAATTACTTTTTAGCTCTACCACGTTCAGTTGTGCATCCTTGTCTTCGGGTCAGAATTTCATAATTAAAGCCAGTGATATTAACCTATTGCTCCAATCGAGAGAACCAATGTTCCCTGTGAGATTCAGACTCGCATCACGCAATGTTATAGTTTGATGGTACACTGTTCTGAGCTTATCAAGCTGTTAGTAATATCCTGTTGAACTGTGATGTATACGTTATAGAAATAGAGAAGTAAACTAAAAAGAATGTTAAGCTCATGAAACAATGAGAGATTGCTTGTACATAGAGTTCCATCTGGAAATGTTGAATTACTCAAGCCTTCACAGTACAGTTCACCAGTATTTTTGGTTCAGTTTCATTTGTTGAACTATATAAAGTAGATGTGATATTTCTTTTTCGATCTTTCGATTATTTTACATTCTTTAAAAAGTACTACTCAGTCAGTCAGCTACAACGTAGGACCAGGCACATATATGCATCGGTCCAAATTGCCATACCTCGTTAGCACGATAAAATGAACACCGAATTCATAGAAGTAGTTAATTTAGTGGTGGTAGTGTAGTGAACAAAACACGGGTTGGGGACAATCGAATGTATTTAAGCAAAAATTACAGACTATCTCAGTAAATTCTGATTACCAAACAATGAACAGTCAATTTGCAAATTAACAACCAATTGTTTCAATCTTCACTGTTTCTTCTCTTATTCCATTGCTCATGCATTTTCCAAACGATTGCGCTTCATTTCAGTTCTTTCCTCATCGGTCTTCTGCGAAAATACATTCTATGTCTGACCCACACCATATATTACTTATATAGATATAAGTAGACAACACCACAGTAGTATATAAAAGAAAGGTTGTATATAAGGATATAGTATAGGAAGAAAGACAGATATGAAGCAAATTTAATCTCAAGGTTTAAGGGAAGACAGAGAGTGTATACACCTTTGCCATTGTGATCGATTCTAAGCCGTCACCTAGAGTCTCCAACCATTGGTTACGATAGTCATGCGGACCTCAACCAAGTAGTCTGCATCTACGAACATGACTCAGACTAGAAGTTAGTGACTTCAAGCATTGATGCCACATATTGGTTTGGCCACTCCTAACTCTTCTCTAACCGTCTCCAACACTAGTCAACATTTTGCGTTGTGGTAATCGGTGTTTAGCCATACGTAACACGTGACTCAACCATCTGAGTCGATGAAGATTCATGACTACATCAACTGATTTACCATCATTTCCTAATATCCTGCATTTAACCTCACTATTACTTACCCAGTGATTTCGGAAGATGCGAGCAATACTTTTAAGATATCTGTGTTCAAATACTAGTAACTTATGAGTATCTTCTACTGTTAATGGCCACATTTTGCAGCAGTAAAGTAAAACAGAACGAACTGCTGCGCAGTATACTCGTCCTTTAATTGATAGACGGATATCTCGTCTTTGCTATAGGTGACGTAAGTTGGCAAAAGCCAAACGAGCTTTTTGAATCCATGCTGAGATTTCGTCAGACACCGACCCATTAGGGCCAATCAGAATTCCAAGGTAAATGAAGTTGTCTCACGCGTTCGACTACTTCACTCCCTCTACTTAGTTCAGATGTTGACGCAGACAAGTCCTGGAGTAACAATTTATATTTAGATGGTGAGAAACGCATCCCAAACATCCTGGGATTATTACTCAGTTCTATACTATACTATAAATATATAAGTCATATCTGTTTGATTCTTTTCGTTTATTAATTTATATCATGATATTATCACAATTGTCTATTATCTCTTTATGTTCCTATCTGTTCATATGGATGATAGTATCTTCTGTAACAACTCATAATAATGAATCTTCTATCAAGATAAACAGTAATGGAAATAATTTAAGTCAAGTATCTACAACAATACCTACTACTGCTACTCATACTACTAATAGTACTATATCATTATTTACAGAAAATATAGAAATGAAATTATTTAATGGTAATGAAGAAATGGAACAAACCAAACACAATACATCATCTGAATCTATTGTAACATTATTAAATGCAAATTTTATTAAAAAGTATGTTTTCTATTGAATATTCATTATATATATATTATAATTTAATGGTTAGAAACTATTGGGATCAATATTCTTGGTTGATCTAGATCAGTCGTCAATGACTTTTATCCTCATTATTGATAGAAAGGGATAGGTTCTGTTGTATGTTGTATGTATCATTCCATGTCGTAAGTCAAGAATTCCTAAAGCTTTCTGTTACGACTTAAAGAATGTAGAGTTGTCATACGTATGTTTTCTTTCTTTCGTATGTTTACTTTCTAAATGATAATAAATGAGATCAATGTTTGACGAATACTACCCATAAAAATAAACCAGTCTTGACCAAACCTCTTCAAATAAACTACAGCAGTCAACTCATCAGTGACTCTATCGATGACATTTACGAAGTTCTAATGAATAGTCGTGTGTAATGAAGCAGCTATTACCAGTGTCGTTCGTTAATTGTCTCACTCTGTCACGAACTGATCAAAGTTGGACTTGTTGGTTGGCTTAACATTCTCTACGGAACCTGGATTCGATCCTTGACCGCAGTCGCAGGTGAGCACTGCTAAGCTTCTTAATAAAACGAAACAGCTGTCCAGTGCTCTTGCATTTTAAATTCCAAGTTGTTGTTTTTTTAAATTCTGTTGTTAAACGCCAAATATTGAATTATCGTAAATTAATTCTTAATATTTCATTCTGTTTTTCCTCCCTATTTGTGTGTGAATACTCATTACTCATTGCTATATTAACATCATTATTTGTGTGTTATTTATTTCGGGGGGGGGGGGAATGGTTATCTTATTTTGTGTGTGTGTGTGTTATTTGTATCACTACGGAAAATAACACACATTTGTGTTATTTCATTAATTTTATACTTTGAATTCCAATCTCTCTGTGTGTGTGTGTGTCATTTGAGTAGACAATTCAAATTGTGTACAATCATCTAAAATTTATTTACAGTCATTCCATTCTCTGTCTTCCGCTGTCTCTCTCTTTCTCACCTTCGCTCTCTGTCCGTCTCTTCTGTTTTCTAATCGTTGATGTTCCACAACTCTAAAAATGCACATTTTTTTATTAGTGTTTGAGGGGTAAAAAAAGGGGGGGGAGAAAAGAGCGCCCAATATGTACACAGCATGTACATCTCAAATGACTTGTTGATTGTCTTCTTTTCCTTGAGCATGTATTGAAATTGTGGTAATACGATTATATTGTATAATTTTAATGAATTACTTTCATTGTTTCTATGCTATTTTTTCTCTATCTTCTCCATTATTTCATTTTCTTTTTTGAATTATCTCCTATTCACCATGATTACATCACTTGTATGATGTCAGTTCTTCAATATAAACTAAGAAAAGATAATGGTATGAACTGTGTGTTTTAATCTAATCAAATTTTGTTGTTTCATCTATAGTAGTTGTATCATTCATTATAGACTACTTACTACTAACTAAGATTTTATCAGTAGTAGTAACATACCTTTTTTATTTCATCTAGTTGACTCATTTGAATTCATAGTGGTGACAGTCTAATATTGATGTTGACATTTTTTTTAATTTTTTGTAAGTAGTGTGTTAAACAACAACCTTTTTTTATTTAAATGAAGACAAATGAATTTTAATGTTTATAGACATCAGCTAAACAAAAAACTTCCCCCCAAAGTACCTTCATCCTTATTTTGGATCTTCATAAACAGTATGGGGGTCCTAATCTTTAAAGATTCTCCAGCTCATATCTTAGTTCATAAATGAAAACTCTTCATTAACTCATTGAACTGTGTAAAGTTTTGTTCTTTGTTTCTCATAGTGTATCAATTGAAGTAAAGTTGTGTTATTCAATCATCAGTACATGCATTCACAATTAATTAGTCACTGGGTGATGTTCAATGTCATGCGTGTCAAGTCCTTCTTTAGTGCTGATCGAATGCTATCGATCAAGTTGCAATGTGGCCACTAGTCTAGGTGGCTCGATACTGTGTACACTATGTTGAGATAAGATGGTGGTTGACCACCTGTAACTACCACAGTACATGTATATATAATATGGAATATAATTGTTATCATGTCTTTGATAAACTAAGCATCATTGTATGTTTGCACAATTGGGACTTGAATTATTGACGATAAATAATCTTATAAAGCAGGTTCTTTGAAATCACTAGCTCTACGGGTTAAAACCTTTAGCTCTTAAGAAAGTAAATTTTACTAGGAGACATTACTACAGCTTCTTCAGTTTTGAACAACTGGATAGTATTACAGTAATCCCACTTGATAGCCTAGTACATAATATATATATATATATATACTTACTAGATGAGTTTTTAATTTTATTTAAACACATAAATCTTGGTACCAGATATACATGCGCCACACAAATCTCATTTGATTTGTATGAGGGCTGTGATAATGCTCAGTGCCCAGACCCAAGCATGTGGTTTTCTTTGTCGGCCACATCCGGAGCCTTTAACCTAAAGTTCTGATCCAGAAGGCAGTAGAGCATCGTAAGGAGATGCAGTCCCATGGTAGCCGGTGACCAACGATTGATTCATACGCCATTTGTTCTCTCAGGATACTGGAGCCCATGTACACCATTGGTTTGGAATCAGGGTTTTTCAACTCCCCTAGGTGGACTTACCGTGTCCACCAAACCGGTTAAAGCGTCGGACATTCGGTTTTCGTCCTCTCAATTTCGTAAACAACAGTAGGAATTCCCTGGCAGAGGCTAAATACAATGAAATAGCTTTAATGTTAAGAGAATTTCATCAATACAGTGTAACATATATGATAACTTAGCAACAATAACAATGGTAGATAACATCTATTTATATGTACACCCTTCTTTATAGAGATCAATAGTACCAATTACTTAGAGAAATAATCATGTTTGCCAACGTTCTACTCATTTCATACAGCGTTTCTCTTCCGTGCATCATCTTTTTTACGTTGACATTGATTCGTAGTATCGAAAATTATAATCACAATAAACTTATCACACGCAATTGTCTCTCCTATTGTTCCATTTATTTTGTGAATATTCACATTCATAGTTAATAAGGAAACATTGTCTGGCGACTAATTACGTCATACTAGTGTCCACAATAGAATAATATTTAAATGTTTGTTCTTAGATCCAGACATTCAATCTTGATCTACATAAATATGCCAGTTTTATTGTTTCTTAGTGTTTTTATGGTAGTAATTTCAGTGTTTATTTATGCATGTTACCCTTTGTGGAGGAGCATAAGCCGATGCTAAGTAGAACAAACAATTTAAGATATTTTAAATAACTGACTAAAACGTGGCACAAATCCATGAAGTCACTGACAATTGGACTGAGCCGTGCTGGTAAGTGTAGACTACCTGTTTGGGATTTGCGTAATGATAGCAACTGATGGTTAGAGACCTTGAATGACATGACTCATAATCGTTTGCAATGGCGAAGGTGAATCCAGTCTTTGTGTTCTACCTAAGTCTAATCTTCTACATTCTTCATATCTATCTGTTTTCTCTTTCCGAATTTATTACACTGGATAACACCTTCAAACCCTAATCTTTCCGATTTCTGCTCAAACTCTTACTACTTCTACCACTATGGGATTTGAATCGACAACTTCATCTCTGTGCTAATGTGGTATGGCAACTCGTACTGACGTACGTACGTACGTACGAAGTTCTATGTTCCGACTGACTGACTGAAATAACTGATTGTTTTGTTGTAAATAATGTCAAGTATATACAATCAGTTTTTAAGAAATCAATCGAAACCATGCGGTACTTACTAGAAGTATGTATTTGATCATTCTCTTAAGTTTTACTCTCCATTGTATTTGAACCCATTACCTACCAACCATACACATGTTCCCAAAACATCTTTTTTTACTGATTTCTCTCAAACTACTTGCAAGTAGTATATATTTTTCGCGACTTTTCTTATCCCTACAATTTTTTCTTTTTCTATGTTTCAGGTAAAATATCTTTCGCCTTACACAAATATATCTGACATGAATATGTATCCGTGTAAAAATGTGTTATGCAACAAGTGATGTTTTTTTTATTATCTGTTTTGATGATGATGATGACCGACCCCATAACAATTTGTAACTGGTATCGCTGTTGTTATTATTATTCCTATTCAATGTTATAAACCTATTTTCTAATCAAAACAGTCGTAACTATTAAAATCTAACTTATCCTATCATGCATATATACCTATACATATATATGAATAAACCTACCCAGATACTCACTCACTGAACCATAGTTACTAACTTTCAAAAAAAAGAGTCACTTGTAACCATTTGTCTTCATATATTGTACTGTATATGAATATGATAATAAGTTTATTGTATCCATATTCATCATTCTTCTTCCTATTATTATTATTATTAGCTGAATTAAATTGTTTAAAAAATACTTTTAAAATATCCTCTTTTTCTTTTAATTATTCAATCAATATATATATATACTACTGAATTATGATTTGTATTCTATTATAAACATACTACTTATTATGTTTATCATTTCTGTTTCTGGTTCATATTTGTTTAGATTATAATTTTATTCCATTTTTAATCAATTTCACAATTGACATTTATATAAGTAGTAAATAAGTAGTAGATCAATGGTTACATACTCATGAATATAACTGTATATATATGAATGATTTTTTTGTTTTATTCATTTTTTTTTATTTAGATATCAGTCTCATTTATTATATAAGATGAGAAAGTGATTAGTAAGTAACTATATATATATATATGAATATGAAGTTGGTTGGTAACTATCTCTTGTTACCATGTTTGATTCAATTCCCTTTTCTTGTTTCTTTTATGTGTTTTTACTCAATGCATCGATTTGCTGTGTTAGTTTTCATTTATGGGTGGTGTTATGAACTGGTTATGTAATAGAAAGAAATGTATGTTTCTTATATAATTTATAATAAAGATACTGTGATGATAAATTAGTGAATAACCATTTTAACAATAATATTCATAATAATATAGTAACTGTGACTTTTCATTTAGTGCGTATGTACTACAGACATATATACGGATAGAGTTTAAAATGGATCATCGGCGGGACTAAACTTTATGGACGAGCCAATCAGAAGCTTTCGTGGGTTTCAAGGTCACGGTGCTAAGTTCTGTACCTGATGCTTACATACGATCGGTTTACAGCGGATTTTAGAGAAGACGTGATAATTCAGCGTCTATAAGAGAAGGTATGATTAAGAAGTTCCTATACTTGTGACTGTGGTACTCGCTCGATCACGAATAACGTTAAGGCCTTCACCGTAAACCATACCAACAACATTGAAGCTATATGGTTAAGGCTAAAAGAATTTTTGAGACCTTATCATGGCTCCAGAGGCCGACTACTATGGAGCCTGTACTATGAGCCTGCGCTATGATTTTAGAACTTCTGAACCTATATCAGACCATGAGAAGTTTTTGAGCTATGTAAAAAAACAGTATCCGCTTTAATTTTTTAGTTTTGTATATTACATCTTTACTGTATACTAACTGTCTTCTGATTGGCTTATATTTCTCAAGGTCATTTAAGATCCGTTCAAAGGTCGTCCATAAAGTGTAGTCTCGCCGGATCATCTAATCTATTAGTACTGTGGTGTAGTCTACTTATATCTATATAAGTAGCATATGGTGTGGGTCAGACATAGAATGTATTTTCGCAGGAGACCGATGAGGAAAGAACTGAAATGAAGCGCAATCGTCTGGAAAATGCATGAGCAATGGAATAAGAGAAGAAACAATGAAGATTGAAACAATTGGTTGTTAATTTGCAAATTGACTGTTCATTGTTTGGTAATCAGAATTTACTGAGATAGTCTGTAATCTTTGCTTAAATACATTCGATTGTCCCCAGTCGTGTTTTGTTCACTACAGTACTATAACGGTTATATATATACTGTTATTTTGGGCAGCTTTCCTATTCATATGTCGATGTATACGCTTCATTTAATGCGAGCTCATTTTGCTATGTCAGTCAGAATACTAATAATGAATAGGGAGGTATATTGGCAAGCCGAATCAAATTATATCATATATGTATGTCCCTCAGATAATTGAGCTAAATCTTGTTCATCATCGTTCATTCAACAACCTAACCGATATTTCCCTTGAACTAGCATATACACTTTAAGCGTAATATTTCATTGTTGACCCCAAAATATCATACAATCTACCATTATATTACATAATAAAAAAGAAAGAAAATACATCAAGGAAAGGATCTATAGAAATTCGTCTGATATACCAAATATAGATTTATAAGTTCAACCATAAATTATACTTCAAATGTTATACTCAATTACACTAGTAATCGATTACTTTAATGAATATATAGGCGAATGGTGACGATGAATCTGTAACTAGTGAAATGTTTCAGTTATCAAATCAATTTTACACTGATATATAAAACTGAATAGCTATAAAATAACAAAGACATTTAGAAGTTATGTATCAAATTCAATTCGATTGATTTCATATCAATATTGATATAGAATTTATATTATCATCAATGGATTATTCTTTTTGTTAAAATATAATTAAGACCTATTAGAGACTTTTGATTGTTGAACTGAACATAATTCATAGTTATTCAATGTATTTTATGACAATAATTGATGTACTACTATCTAGAGTTTTTGATTTTGAAAGACAACTTTACGTGGGAGAATTTAAAAAAAAAAATTTTAGGCCCCCAAATGCCCTGGTACGGCCGAGAGTGGGGAGAGTCAGCTCTCCCTCTCCAAATGCTCTCACATGGCCACGTGCATATAGCCTCTGCCAAAGAAGTCCTACTCACTGCCTTCTCGTGACATTACTGTTGTTTACGAAATTGAGAGGACGAAAAGCGAATGTACGGCGCTTTAACCGAGTTGGTGGACATGGAAAGTTCACCTAGGAGAGTTGGAAAATCCTGATTCCAAACCAATGGTGCACATGGGATCCAGTATCCTGATGGAACGAATGGCGGACGAACCTGTCATTGGTCGCCGGCTACCATGGGACTGCATCTCCTCACGATGCTCCACTGCCTTGTGGATCAGACATTCAGGTCAAAGGCTCTGGGTGTGGCCCCCTAAGAAAACCACCTGCTTGGTTCTGGGCACCTGGGCAGTATCACAGCCCTCACACAAATCGAATGAGATTTGTGAGGCGCATATTTATCTGGTGCTTCCTTGTACCAATATTTATGTGTTTAAATAAATAAATGACAATAATTGATGTACTACTATCTAGAGTTTTTGATTTTGAAAGACAACTTTACGTGGGAGAATTTATGTTGTTTAGTTTAATGGTAGATATAGTTTAAATGTTTTTTGGTTGTTTCAGATTTACTTCCTTCATTTGTCCCAAATTTCTATGTTATATATAATTAGGAATCATGGACTTTTAAACTGTACGTGTTTCTATTTGTATAGACGCTCATAGTAAAAAGTAATTACAAGGTGTTGCTGTGTCTGAAAAAAAAAATAATAATCTGAACGTCTTTTTTGCAAAATGCAGACTTTCAATATGTTGGTATTATGTAACTTGTGGCATGGATACCCCGTTAATGTATAAAGTGATAATACCGTCAATTAGAGAGCAGTGGTTTATCGATCGGACCGATGCAAGTAGTCTAGAGTACTGATCGATCCTGCTTTCTACCTAGCCCAGTCAGTTATGTCCAGAACAGCAATAAGTCTCTGAAATATGAATCATATTTCAAACATACTGAGTTCATGTACCAAACAGACAGACCACATGATACCATAAAATAGAAAATAAAATTTGTACAAGATTTAGCCAAAAGTGGCTGTGAATAAGGGATAAAGTAAATGATAGACAGGGCATAATTCAAGAAATGTAAATTATATAATAATTTTCTATAGGTCAAAATAAACCTCATGATAAAAGGGTGATGAATATGAATAGTTCAATTATTCAACAATTATACGACAAAAATATACACATAGTATTGGTCCATAAATATATCATTCATTATTCTTATTGAGATAAAACAGTAACAACAATCGAAATTCGAATCAATGCTCTGGTACGGCCGAGAGTGGGGAGAGCCACCTCTCCCTCTCGAAATGCTCTCACACGGCCACGCGTATATAACCTCTGCCAGAAAAGTCATACCCACTGCCTTCTCGTGACATTACAGTTGTTTACGAAATTGAGTGGACAAAAACCGAATGTCCGGCGCTTTAACTGGGTTGGTGGACACAAAAAGTTCACTTAGAGGAGTTAGAAAACTCTGATTTCAAACCAATGGTGTACATGGACCCCAGTATCCTGAAGAAACAAATAGTGTATGAACCAGTCGTTGGTTACCGGTTACCATGGGACTGCATCTCCTTACGATACTCCACAGCCTTGTGGATTAAATCTTTAGATCAATGGTCCTGGGAGTAGCTTCACAAGAGAACCACCTGCTTTGGTTTGGGCACCTAGACAGTTTCACAGTCCTCACACAAATCAAATAAGATTTGTGTGGCGCATATGTATCTGGTGCCTCTTTGCACAAATATTTATGTGTTTAAATAAAATAGAATTTCAAAACAAAATAAATTGTTTCATTGAAATATTTATTTATATACAAATAAGAAAATGAATAGTTGCCATGGAAACCTTTTTTTGTTGTTGCATAGTTACAAAATGAATTAGTTACCATATAATGATAAAAATATTATTAATCATTTATAATTATTTCTATTAATTAGTTAATCAACCATCTTCAAAATAAGCGAATTACGAAAATTCGAAATTGTATTAATGATGATCTATATAGATATCGAAATAGAATTGTCACTTATCAATGAATCTAGTCATTTCTTTCTTTTAATAAATGATAAAGAAAAAAATGAAAATGTGACTTGTGTGTATGTGTGTGTGTGTGGTTCCTTTTTTCATTGGCAACTTTTTTTTGTTTTGAGGTTCCCTGTAAAATTCATGTTTCGTTTCAATAGTTGCTAACGTAACAGAATATTGATTCTTATTTGAATTGTTCTACTTCTTGAAAGTTTTCCATTGATTTACACTATTTCATTTACATTAGATATACTGATAAGTTATATATACAAATAGTATTAATATATATTAGAATATACAATATGATATCCTTTTTAGATGTAAATTATACATTTGAGTTTATTCAAGAATGAATAGTTTTATATCACTGGTTATTTATTGTATCCATATACACATATTGATTAACTTGTACACATATATAGACAGTTAGGTAGGTGAAAGTTGGTATGCACACACATAGAGAGATGTATACATGATGGATAATCCTCTCACAACTATTTATGGAAGATGAAATCTGTTCGGTAAAAAAGGAATAGTGAAGTATTCAGTATTATTAAACTAAACAAATTTATTTAAACACATAAATATTGGTAAAAAGGGGCACCAGATACATGTGCACCACACAAATCTTATTTGATTGATGTGACGGCTAGGATACTACCCAGATGCTACACCCGGCGTCTTTGACATAAAGATCTGATCCACAAGGTAGTGGAGCATCGTGAGGAGATCCGATCCCATGATAGCTGGTAACGAACGATATATTCATACGCCATTTGTTCTCTCAGGATACTGGAGCCCATGTGCACCATTAGTTTGGAATGAGAGTTTTTCAACTCCCCTAGGTGGACGTTTCGTGTCCACCAACCCCTTTAAAGCGTCAGACACTCGCTTTCCGTCCTCTCAATTTCATAAACAACTATAATTCCACAAGAAGGCATTGAGTAGGACTTCCCTGGTAGAGGCTATATACGCGTGGCTATGTGAGAGCATTCGGAGAGAGAGAGCGGATTCCCCCACCCTACTCTTGCCCACATAATAAGGCCTCGCCCATACATTCCCTTATATATGACAGACGAACCATTTACACTATTTTTAGATCCAAAATATCTGTAATGTGTTCAGTATTTTGATAAAGCCTGTTTCATGTTATGAGGATATATGATGGACGAGAACATAGGCGGGAACAATCTGTTATATCCCCTGATGAATTATGAATGGTAAATCTGATGTCTATTTATGGACAAATGTAATATGCCTATTTACTATTGTATAGTTGTTAAATAAGTGACCTAATCGTTTCCGTGTTCCTCTTATCATAACCTTTATTTTGACCTTTGAACTATTGTTATTGATTACTTTCCCCCTATCCATAGCCACATTGGCCAATTATTGTACAAAAGTTATTTTTCTATTTTTTGGTATAATTTGGTCTGTTTGGTTAGTATATATAACCCAGTATGCTTGTGAATAATGATTCATACTGCCGAGGATGTTATTTGTGTTCTGGACTTAACTGGCTGGGCTAGGCAGATAGGAAGGACCGGTTAGCACTTAAGATTGTTCATACGTATTTTATGTATCATTGGACGTTTATGTATTACGAGGGCATACGTTATAACATAATCAAATATATTTTATTACAAAATATCTTACTAAAATTTGAGAACCACAAAGTAAATACTTCATTTTCAAAATATTCATCAATTGTCTCAGACTTTGTTGTTCTGTCGTTTCCATACCGATCACTCTTTTGTTTGATCTTCTTAACCTTGAACCGCCAGGCCATTACACTTTCGATTAGTGATGTACACTACTTATATCTATCGAGGTCAGTAGCACACATCACAATATGATTAAGCATCAAATTCATCTGTCTGTTTAAACTTACTCTTTAGTGTTATGTAGTACCGAAGATATAAGTACGGGTAACTTGCAGGACCTACTATTGGACTATCATTCTTAGTGTATAACTATTCGGTAACTAGATTATCAATATCTATATTCATTTTATTGTAAGCTTCATTTTGACCTATTGATTATTAGTATATGATTTACTGTCCCTATGTTATACTCAGTTTTATTGATTATTGTCTCCCACGCTTACAGCCTCATTTGGCCTGGTTTTGTACAAATATTATTTTCTATTTTATGGTATGATGTAGTCTGTCTATCTCGTATATAAACCAAGTATGCTTGAAATAAACGATTCGCATTACAGCAACTGCTATTGGTGTTTTGGACTCAAGTGAACGGGTTAGGCGGATAAGGACCAATAAGGACGCTAGTTTACTCATACTAATCGAACGTCATTGTCACAGTGTGAAGGTTGTAGAAGTCGTATTCTATTGGTGGACAATTTACGCGAATTACGTCCTTGTTAAATTCGTAAGTTCATAACAAATCAGCGACGACCTTGATCAAGTCATAACAATTGGCTACCGCCTAGGTCAAAAACATAACAAATTGGCAACGGCTAGGTCAAGTCATAACATTTAGTATACTCTGGAAATTTTACTTTAATTAGAAAGTAAAAAAGTCAACACTAAACTATTTTGTTTCATCATTATGGTTAATCAGTCCGTAACTATCTTCAATGTTATATAAATATGTAATTTAAAGGATAGGTTAAATACGTTATTAAAGGAGATTGATAATGCAGTTAATTTAGTTCGAATACAATCCGCCAAGTTTTTATAGTTTATAAGTTCATTAAATTTCACCTTAATAAGTCTCTTTAATCCTTTTGTCAAACTTTTTAACTAGTTATCATTTTGTTACTTTTACTTAACTACCTGATGAGAATGAATGAATTATGGATCCAATCTAATTTTGTATATTTTTCCTTAGCTGATCATGTTAGTAGTGATATTCATTTACGTGTACATTCAACGATCTAAGTGGTAGTCACTGCTGCCTACTCAGTTTAATTAACTGTGGATCAATTTTTATATAAGCTATTAAAAACCATAAGCAAGTTAACAGACAGACCTATACACACAAAGTAAAATAAGTAAGGCCAGTGAATTGTCACTGAGTGCTTGTAAACTTTACCGGCAGTTGGATCACTGAATATTGAACACATCATCAATATCTGTCAAAGTCAAAGACAACCAATGCGCATCAGTTTATCGTATGCCATGCAGTGGTGGTCTCTGTACTTATTCTTACTAATATATTTTCGTAATAACGTCCTTTGCGTTATATGGTCTTCAAAGGAGGCAATAGTAAATTGATATGTCGAAGAGGTAACCTACATTAAGTTTTGACAACGAGGTGTGACTTCCAAGTTATCTGGTTCGTCACATCATATCTGTTTAACTCGATTAGAACGTTAATCATTCGACAGAGATCATCAATGTTGATGATCTACAAATGATTTGTCCATCCAAAATGTAAAATCATTTGTCACAGTATGTGATCATAAGAAATTTTATGTTTCCAACGCAATCTGTTAATAATGTGGTAGAGTGGTAACAGTTGTGTAACTGAACAATTAGCCAATACTTTCCAATCCTTTAAGTCAAGGTACTTCGTAGGAAAGATCGATTTTGGATGTCATAGAGTATCTTTCTACAGTTTTCAGAAATACATAAGCTAATCATAGATAAACAACTATATACATACAAAAACATTTACCTGGTGAATTGTCGACTGTCTTGATGTACATCCATTTCATCCATTTTGTAATCGTTTAATTCCCTACGAATCTGTGCCTAAATGGGATTTATTTGATAGAAACATTTTATCAAAAAAAAAGGTTTTGTAAAGATTTTAATAAGTTAATAGTTGAATTCATGAATTAATTAAAGCTAGACCACTATGTAAACCCTGGAAGCATTGGACGGTCGTTTCGTCTTAGTGTATTAGACAAGAACACGGGTGGAGACAATCGAATGTAATTAAGCACAAATTACAAACTATCTCACTAAATTCTAATAACCATACAATGAACAGTTAATTTGCAAAATAACAATCAATTGTCTCATTCTTAACTGTTTCTTCTGTTAATATCAGTCCGTCTTCTCTGATTATTATTGCTCATACATTATCGTTCCTTAATAATCATCTGCCAAAATACATTCTATATCTGACCATCACGATACACAACTAATATGGATATAAGTAGACCACACTAAACTCTTCCCCCTTTAAAGCATTCGTTCATGTGGTGGTTCTGCTCGCCGTTCGCACCTTTTTCTTGTACTGCAGTCTGTGTCAAGCTCTCCGTCAAAATGTCGAGTTTGAGGCACGCTGACCTCCATAGCTACGTCGAAATGCCGGAGGCCGACATCCACCCAGCACCTGGGACGTTCAACACCCGTACTACAACGCCCTGCTGGGTCATCTATATCCGCTCAGCTGCTGAGGAGTTTCATAATAAGATGAAATCTTCATTCAGTTCTTCAAGGTTTTACATAGTGGGCTAGTTTTAATTGACTTATGAATTCAACTAATAAAAACATTTAAATTTTATCTACTAACCCCTTTTTGTTGATATTTTGTTTTAAAATATTAATATAATATTTGTTGCTAGGTCTATTCTGTTGTTGTTGGGCTATTCGACATACAATTCATATTACTTAATAATGTATTTTGCTACGTCTGGCCGATTGTGAACGCTATATTCGCTTCCCTAAGCTAGTTCCGTAACCCCCGAGCTAGAACTATACACCGCAAGTTGAAGACCAGAGAGAAGGCACAAAGTGTGTGGGAAGCATTTTACTAAAGGGTTCCTTTCTTGTTACAGAAAATCATAGGTATTTATAGATGTTAGCCAATCCATTAACGACATATTATGATACCGATTAATAGTATCACGCCACGTTAGAACTCTAGAATATTCCATCGTATTCTGATTGGATGGAGCTCTGTTAAGGTTCTCCGAAAGCCGATTCAACATTTTTACTATTATACAGATACTAAGAAGTAAAAACGTGCTTTATTACTACAACATCAATACTGTTTGAAGCAGTTAGATCCATTGCTTGAAATTTGGTTATTTGGATAAGAAGTCTTTATAAAAAATGTGGATATCCTGACAATTATATGCAATTGCTTACCATTTGTTAATGTATGATTTTTAAAATGATTTGATCACCCTTTTATCTTAAAACAACGGTGTAGTTTATGATTAATATGGTTGACCCATCAAAAGAATACGTTCAATGCACTGCAAAACTTGTTTACTAGTAAAAAGAGATGAATCTGACATTGTATTAAACGAATAATCAAGTAAGGATGACTCGATATATTAATATATGAGAATCATACATTGAATAATTCTTTTCTAAATTCCATTATTTATCCTTCATATTATGTATGATTCTTGCAGGTCACAATTTCTTTCTATTTCTGTTACTATTTTCTCGTCAACTTGATCTTTTCAGCCGTCTGTATACCGAAATTTTCACTTTCTATTAGTGTTACATAATGTTGAGTCGGCTTCTGGAGAACTCTAAGAAAGCCTCCAGAGGCTTATAAAGAGCCCCAGCTAATCAGAATACGATGGAACATTCTAGAGTTCCAACGTGGTGTATAGTTCTAGCTCGGGTATACGGAACTAGCTTAGGATCTGAATATAGCGTTCAAAATAGGCCAGATATAACATATACTATTTATATCTGACGACATAATTAACATACACATTAAAATAGAAATTTAAGGGATTCGGCTCGAGACTGGTAAGTCCTGGATTCGAATCTCGCGAGAGCGGGTTCGTGGATGAGCACTACCACTGAGGAGTCCCATAATAGGACGAAACGGCCATCCACTGTTTCCAGGTTTTCCATGGTTGTCTAGCTTCAATTGACTTATGCTTTCAACTATAAAATAGAAATTTAACAATTAAAACAATTATTTGGTTTGAAAAATTATAGTTTACATTGGTAATTTAATTAGATTACTTCAATCTATAGGTTCATTCGTCCAAGACAGAAACCATCCATAAATAAGATCTAAATTCATGATGAATTTTTCAAATTCTTTGGAATCTTTATAATTTGCATAAATTAATCATTGGGATAATGAAATAAGTACTGATGGTGATATTGAATGATGATTTTAGTTTATCAAATTAAATGTAACTTAAAATGATGATGATGTTTTTTTTAAAGGGATCATATTTCATAAGGCTCTATGGACATCAATTGCTGTTTTTATAAGTTCGAAATGAAGGTCTTTTTGGTTTCTGTATGCAATTTCTTAGCAGTAAACAATCACGACCTTATCGAACATTGAACATAATACTTTCTATCTTGGAGTACCAATGGTTGTTTAATTAAGATCAACGCATTTCATAAACTATAAATTATCTCTACATGCTGTTAGAGTTGTAAGATGGTTAGAAGTAGCCAAATAAATATGAGTCATTAATCCATGAAGTTATTGACTTTTGAACTAGCTCTTATAAATTGATTTGGGCTACGGGATTGAGATCCTTACGATTTTTATTAGTCTGAGAACTTGTTTCCTGTCGCTCAGAATTCTTCTTTGTGTTTTAAGTGTATTCACTTTTTGTTTTTACTTAGATCTGAAGTTTCCAAACTGTTTTAACGTTTAAATTCATTTAGTATTGATTGTTTGAATCTTCCCATTGACGTGTTAGGATTGCGATTGGTCAGTCTCTAATTGGCCATATGTGCATACTGTGTGTATTGCCTCGATATAGCCTAAATTCACAAGCATTGTAACCAAAATGGATTGTGGCTAGCAGTGAAATCCAGAACGCACATTTCGTCCTATTCGGGACTTGTCAGCTGGATGTACCTGCCATATCTCACAGTTGATGTTCACTCTAGGATTCGAACCCAGTACCTTTCTCTTGAAACGCCATCGCGTTATCCACTCGGCCACTTTTTAACGTTTTACTCCTCGGATCCACATCGTTTCCTGAGTCATATTCTTAATATAAAATCTTCTCAACAATAATCGTGGTGTGTGCTACTAATGTCGACAGATATAGGTAGTATGTATCATCAATAGAAAATGAAATGTCTGAAAGCAGAAGGTAAAGAAGATCAAAGAAAAGCGAGCGCGAACAAAGATTGATTGGTGTGGAAACGAAGGAGCAACAAAGTCTTAGACAGTTGATGAATATATTGCAAATAAAGTATTTACTTTATGGTTTCCAGATTTTCTGGAGTTTGTGTATTCAAATACATTCGATTGTTCTCGCTTATGTTTTCCTTCATTACACTACTTATACTACCCTAGCATCTCTTTGTGCTGATATGGTATGTTAACGTGAACTAATCTATGTATGTGTTAAGTTTTACATTACATACAGCTGACTATTGATTAGGTTTTAGAGAAAAAAGCATTACCTTATCTTTTGATGTTAATCTAATCCATGGTTTATCAGCACTTCGATCACATGGTTCCAATTCTTGTACTTCAACAAATTCAGAAAATCTTAACATAAACATTTCTTGTGTCATACCTTCTGTATAGATAGTTGACTAAAAATAATAAAAAAAGGAATAAGTGGTTACTGACTAGAAGTTAGTTAGTTATTGGATGAATTTGTGCTTTGTTTGTATAATTATGATTTCATCAATATTTTGTGTATATTTGTTACTTTTGAGACAACTAACCGACTCATTCGAGATAAAGACCGGTGTTAGGCAAAGTTGCTTATTCTCATCCTCGTGATCGACTGGATCATGAAGACGCCAATATCCGGAGGCAAACATGGGATACAGTGGACAGTTAGGATACAGCTGGACGATTTAGACTTTGCCGATTATCTGGCTCTTCTATCATACACTCAACAACAAATGCAGGAGACGACCAGTTACAGGTGTTTATTAACAGTTGTCTACGCAAGATACTTCGGATCCGTTGAACAGACACTATCAGCAACAACCTACTACGGGAGACAACAAACCAGATTCCAGCGGAGAAAGAAATTAGGAAGAAGTGCTGGAAGTGGATAGGGCAAACATTGAGGAAATCACACAACAGCGTCACAAGACACATTCTCACATGGAATTTTGAACGTCAAAGGTAAAGAGTAAGGGCAAAGAACACATTACGCCGAGAAATGGAGACAGACATGAGGAGAATGAACAAAAACTGGATAGAACTAGAAAGGAGGGCCCAGGATAGAGTGCGTTGGAGAATGCTGGTCGGCGGCCTATGCTCCATCTGGAGTAACAGGCGTAAGTAAGTGTTACTTATGACCAGAGATGACTAGATTGATAGCTGAAGGTTAGAGAGATTTTAGAGATATCATTCATGTATCATGTCGAGTGTTGTCTACAATGTGATACTGAAACATAGTATACTCTACGCACTAATCTCCTAACTGACTACTTGAGCGAGAACACAAGATTGAGCAAGAAAGAATTGATTCATTTATTAGCTAATGAAATACACTTGTCCTTTAGGTCACTTCTGATAGCCATCAATTAAGCTTCTCGTTAGGCTAGTTCTGATTAGCTCTCCACAGAGTTAATTGAATAATGATAACGAGCAAGTATAGAGGTCACTGAACATGTCATTCTATAACTACTCTCTTAATAATCTCCATGAAGTTTCATACCACCTTTTAATTGTTGCAGGCATTTCGTTGCATATTTGGCAGCAATACACTACTATCTTTTTTTATGGATTTCCTCTCCACAGAAACGATACATGCTAACCAGTCTCTTTAATCACGTTAATATTATTCATCACTAGTTCAATGTTGAATAACTTTCATCTAGCCAATATTTAATTGCATTATAAACCCACTTGTATAGTTGACTTTAGTAAAATTACTTCCCTACGCCTGTTACCCCTCGTGGGCGAGCATATGCAGCTCACCAGCATTCTCCATCCAACGCTGTTCTAGACAGTACTTTCCAGTCACTATTCTTTTTTTTCATATCTGCTTTCATTTTCCGGCGTAATGTGTTCTTTGACCTTCCTCTTTCCCGCTTCCCTTGAGAATTCCCAGTTGAGGCTTGCCTCATGATTCACTTTGATCATTTCCTTAATGTATGTCCGATCCCCTTATAACGTCTTTTCCTAATTTCCTCGTCAACTGGAAGCTGGTTTGTTCTCTCCCATAAAACGCTGTTGCTGATAGTATCCGGTCAGTAAATGTTGAGTATTTTGCGTAAACAACTGTTTATAAATACTTGTATCTTCTTGACGACGGTTGTAGTAGTTCTCCACGTTTCAGCTCCATACAGTAAAACTGACTGTCTTTACGTTCGTATTGAAGATTGTGACTTTGAAATGAGTTGACAGTTGGCACAGAATAAAATTTCTTTATTTCATTGAACATTTTCATTATTCATTGTCTATATCAATTCTATATTCATATAAATTACATAGAATATAATAAATTAAGTTAACTAATCAATAAACGTACAGTTCTTGCAAGTTCTTTCAATAACTCCTTTCTTCTTAACCATTTAGCTTCTTCTGAAGTATCTAGAAAAGAAGTTTAAGAATATATATATAAGTCATTCGATTTGTGTGAGGTTTGGTATACTATCTGGTTGTCCGAACTAAACAAGATGGTTTTCTTAAAGAGCTACTCTCCGAATCTCTGATCTAAGGATCTAATCCACAAGGAGATGTAGCAATGTTAAGTCTGATCCACAAGGCAGTGGAGCATCGTAAAGAGATACAGTCCCATGGTCGCCGGTGACCAACGATTGGTTCCTATACCATTCGTTAGATCAGTATCCTGGAGCCTATGTGCACCATTGGTTTGGAATCAGAGTTATCCAACTCCTTTAAGTGGATCCTCCATATCCACTAACCCTGTTAAAGCACTAGACATTGGCATTTTGTCCTTTCAATTTCGTTAACAACAGTAATGTCGTGAGAAGGCAGTGAGTAGTACTTCCCTGGCAGTGGTTGTATTTACGTGGAGAGAGAGAGAGAGAGAGCTGACCCTCATTAAGGTGAATTAAGTTAATTCTTTTAGAAATATTGAATATCATATTCCCTATTTAATCATGGCTAAATCCTACCTGATAAAACGTGTGGTTTAATATACTTTTTTTATTCTCTCGGACGTCTGTTACGATGATGAGTTAATACGTAAATAAAACTAATCACGTTATATTAGAGCCAGACTTCACGACCCAAAAGTGAAGAATCCGATTAACACTAAGGAATACTTTGCTTCCCACAATTACAAGTAGTCACACACTCTGAGTCCAAAGGAGAAATTAATAATAAGAAGGAAAACCATATATTTAATAGTCCGTAGTCTATGACTATTTGTTCAGGCTCAACGATTAATCATACTTTATCTTCATTACCACATATCACTACCAACGAAATTACATTTTGCGCCAATTATCAAAAAGAATGAATATTATAACTCAATTCGTTTGACTAGAGGCTTGTCGATGGTGATTATAGTATATAAGACTTAAATATTCAAAGCCATGTATAGAATGAATTGGATCTCACCTTTTACATAAGATGGATCTTATAGGATTGGAAGTCAATAATTGTATTCTTTGTTTAAGAAACAAGTGTTAAATGCCTTTATTTCTCTTAATTGGTCACAGTAATTAATAATTATGAAAGCCAAGTAGACTATCTTAATAATACTTACTACCCATTTTATTTTTGTTTCTGACGAGATTATAATTTATGAACGAGCTAATCAGAAGAGTTTGAGGAATTTTAAAGTTACGGCGCCAATTTCAGTACCTGATACGATCGGTTCACAGTGGATTTTAGAGAAAAAGTAATAAATGAACGACTACAACAAATGAGACTACTAAGTAGTCCTTTTATTTGTGATTGTGGTAGTCAAATAACTTGTGGACCTCGTTCAGACTACCGTGATGATGTTGTCTTTCAATGTATTATGTGTAGGAGAAAGAAGTCTGCTATAATAGGATTTTTCACCTCGATCCAGACTGAGACTAAGGCAAAGTATGACAATTGTCGCAAACTGTATAATAAAAGTACCAGTAACACTGACTGCAACCAGGTACTACAATATATACAGATGATTGATGACTAATAGATGCCTACAAAGACTTGGTTATTTTCATCTTGTCGTTATCCACAAGCAGTATTTTATGGACCAAACAACCGAAATGCTCACAAACAATATTGATTCTATATGGTAGAGACTGGAAGAGCTGATAATCATACTATAATCAACAAGATGAAGATTGTTCATCTATACATGACTATTGAGCGTTTCTTTTCAATTCATTAACTTCAACATATGGATGAAAGTTAATTTTTATAGATCAGAAGGCGTTTTGTGAAGATTTCAATACTTTCATAGTTGAAAGCGTGAGTCAATTGAAGTAGGACCACCATGGAAAACCTGGAAGCACTGGACGGCCATTTCGTTCTATTATGGGACTTAGCAGTGCGCATCCACGATCCCGCACTCGCGAGATTTGAACCCAGGAACTACCAGTCTTGCGCCAGAGCACTTAAATGATAGACCACTGAGCCGGTTGGCATCCAACGGAGTTAATGTCTAACTTCAACCAATCCACGATTTTGAGCAACCGTTCACCAATTGTCTGAGACTCGTAGTTCCTGGGTTCGAATCTCGCGAGTGCGGGATTGTGGATGCGCACTGCCACTGAGGAGTCCCATAAAAGGACGAAACGGTCGTCCAGTGCTTCCAGATTTTCCATGGTTGTCTAGCTTCAATTGACTCATGGTTTCAACTAGGAAAGTTAATTTGTTTGAAAATGTCATTTTCCTAATCATTTTAAAGACTGAATAAATTTAAGAACTGAATTTAATCTAAAAATAAATAAATAGTACCAATATTGTTTATCTTACTTGGACTTTCATTGCTTCCAATCAATAATTCACAGAAATTTCTTTGAGGTAACCATCTTGTTAATAAATGCCCAACTGGACCATAACCACTAGCACATAAAGAAGGTGATAGTACTTCAGTTATCAAAGGTTTAAGTGAGTATTCATCTCTTATTGAGTTGGACAAAGAGTCGATACTATTTTCATCGATTTCACAATCATCATCACTATCAGTCGTATTTTCTTCTTCTTCTTCCTCCTCTACAAAGTCAGTCGTTGCATTTGTTGAATCACCATAATAATGTTTACCGTTTTTCATACCTTCAATAAGATCAGAAAGTGGATGATCCCTTTCATGACGTATATCATGTGTTTTGTTTGTTTCAAGGTAACATTCCATACTATCACGTCTCAAAAGCTATGATGATATTACAAGATAAAGAAACATATTTAAATTTTAATGCATTAAAATAGAAACTTTTTAGAAAGAGTTTTTTGTAAAGATTGTAGTAGTTTTAATAGTTTAATTCATGAGTCAACTAAAGTTAGACCACTATGGAAAAACCTGGAAGCATTTGACAGCCATTTCGTTCTAGTATGAGACTCCAAGTTGGTCTACCTATAATCTACTCATGAATTGAACTAATAAAAGAAACTTTTCACAATTGATTGATCGCTGGGTGGTGATCAATGTCATGCATGTCAAGTCCTTCTTAGTGCTGATCGAATGCTTTCGATCAAGTTGCATTATGGTCACTAGTCTAAGTGGCCAAACAAACGTTTTGTGAAATTTGAAAACCAAATAGAATTCATTATTAAGAACCAAATTAATTTTTATTTACAAAGGTTGATAAATGTAAAGTTAAACGTGTAAAATTAAAGTCGGAATACACACTTTCTAGACACTTCTAGGCATGAACTTGTTAGGTTCCATAAAATATGGAATGCCTTATGTATCTATAATCAGTTCATAAATATACAACATAAGCTAATTAAGATCGTAGGACTTGAACTAGTTAGAAACTAAACAGCTCAGTTAGTATATATCTGAATGAATAAGTAGTGTATTAATGACGGCAATCCAAATATATTGAATACTGTGTCCCGTGGATATTTTAGTAACTTATTATTTGGCTACTTATGAGTAGTTCAAAACATTTTGTTTCTTTTTTCGCCAGAGTCAGACAAATCATTCATAGCAATTGTCAAACATTGTGTTCAGTATGAAATTAACAGGAAATAACTACTGTAATTCCATGATACCTCAGCCAAATATTTTCAATTCTTTCCTGTTTAGTTTTGATTTTTTACACTAATGTCAACAAATTACTTGTTGATCAGAAGGGGTTTTGTGGAGAATTAAGTATTTTCATAGTTGAAATCATGCGTCTAGTGGGAAGCAGTGATCAGTGGAGTTCTACCAAGTCTGTTGTAGAGATATCAACTCACTTAAGACGATTGGTGAACGATTACTCAAACATCGTGGATTGGTTGAATTTAGACATTACCAATGTTGGATGCCCGCTCACTGGTCTATCGGTTTGAAAATGCATGAACAATAATAGGTAGAGACGATGAACTGATATCAACAGAAGGAAGGGTCAAGATTGAGTCAATTGATTGACAGTCTGCAAATTAACTATTTACTCTATGACCTCATGTAGTATTGTTTGTTTGAACGCTGCAACTGGTCGGTCTCTAATTGACATATGTGCATACTGTACGTATTGCCTCAATATAGCCTCTATTCACAAGGATTGTAAGCAAAGATGGATAGTGGCTAGCGATGGCGTTTGAAGTCAACGGTAGTGGGCTCGATTCCCAGGGTGAACATCAACTCTGTGATGCAGCTACATCCAGATGACGTGTCCCAAATAGGATAAAACGCTCGTCCTGGGTTCCACTGCTAGTCACTATCCACCTTTGCTTTCAATGTTTGTGATTTCATACAACATCGAAGCAGTTTGCATAGGATGCATATATGTAGTCCAATATAACAATAAAAATATACATATAAAAATAAGAATAAATGAATTCAATTTCGTACTTTTGAATGAAATCTTGGAGTTGATGACTTTGAATCTTCAAATATTTGTTCATTATCTTCATCATCATCATTATCATCATCTTCTTGTATATCTTTTATATCATTATTAACAATCATAATATCATCATTCATTTGATGATCAGCTGATATATTCACTTCATTTAAAGTCACCATGAAATCTTCATGATCTTTTAAATCTTCATGATTATCTTTATGTTTTATAGAATAATCCAAATAGTTCTTATTTAATCCATTTGATCGTTTAAATTCAGGTGAATATTGACTATATTCAATTTTAAGTCCAGGTGATATTTTACTATTTGAATTAGAATATTCCAATTTACTTAGTAACCATTCATTATGATCTGTTTTATTTATTAGTTTAATATTCATCATTGTATTGGATAGATCTGATGAATGTAAATATACTAAATGTTTCATTTCATCATTTGGTGTTGATGGTGGTGTTAATGAAAATGAATTAGAATTTAAAGGATTTGATGATCGGACAACTTGTTCATGTTCATTGATTGATCGATGAACACTAAATGATTATAAACAAAAGATAAGAAGAAATTAAGGTTGTAAACATTAAAACAAAATTTAAACTTGTAGTTTATTCAACAACAACAACAACAACAACAAAAAATATTTTGTAGATAGATCCAGCTGATGAGTCTTAAATAAGACGAAACGAATAATTTGGATTCCAGTGTTAACTACTATATTACTTTACTTACGCCTGTTACCCCTCGTCGAGGAGCATAGGCCGCTCACCAGCATTCTCCATCCAACTCTGTCCTGAGCCTTCCTTTCCAGTTCTTTCCAGTTGCTATTCATCCTTTTCATATCTGCTTCTATTTCCCGGCGTAATGTGTTCTTTGGCCTTCTTCTTTTCCGCTTCCCTTCCGGATTCCAAGTTAGGGATTGAGTCGTGATGCACATTGGTGATTTCCTTAATGTATGTCCGATCCACTTCCAACGTCTTTTCCTAATTTCCTCGTCAACTGGAAGCTGGTTTTTCCTCTCCCATAAAACGCTGTTGATGATAGTATCCGGTCAGTAAATGTTGAGTATTTTGCGTAAACAACTGTTTATAAATACTTGTATCTTCTTGACAACGGTTGTAGTAGTTCTCCACGTTTCAGCTCCATACAGTAAAACTGACTGTCTTTACGTTCGTATTGAAGATTGTGACTTTGAAATGAGTTGACAGTTGGCACAGAATAAAATTTCTTTATTTCATTGAACATTTTCATTATTCATTGTCTATATCAATTCTATATTCATATAAATTACATTACTTACTTACTTACGCCTGTTACCCCTCGTCGAGGAGCATAGGCCGCTCACCAGCATTCTCCATCCAACTCTGTCCTGAGCCTTACTTTCCAGTTCTTTCCAGTTGCTATTCATCCTTTTCATATCGGCTTCTATTTCCCGGCGTAGTGTGTTCTTTGGCCTTCCTCTTTTCCGCTTCCCTTCCGGATTCCAAGTTAGGGATTGAGTCGTGATGCACATTGGTGATTTCCTTAATGTATGTCCGATCCACTTCCAACGTCTTTTCCTTATTTCCTCTTCAGCTGGAAGCTGGTTTGTCCTCTCCCATAAAACGCTGTTGCTGATAGTATCCGGCCAATGGATGTTGAGTATTTTGCGTAGACAACTGTTTATAAATACTTGTACCTTCCTGATGATGGCCGTAGTAGTTCTCCACGTTTCAGCTCCATACAGTAAAACTGACTGTCTTGACGTTCGTATTAAAGATTCTGACCTTGAAATTGGTTGAGAGTTGTTTTGAGTTCCATATGTTCTGCAATTGTAGAAATGCTGCCCTTGCTTTGCCAATCCTTGCCTTTACATCTGCATCCGATCCTCCTTGTTTATCAACGATGCTCCCCAGGTACTTGAATGTTTCCACCTCTTCCAGAGTTTCGCCATCAAGTGTGATTGGGTCGGTGTTCTCCGTGTTGCATTTGAGAATCTTGCTTTTTCCTTTGTGAATGTGGAGGCCTATCGATGCGGAGGCTGCTGCTACATTTGCTGTCTTCATCTGCATTTGGTCGTGTGTATGAGAGAGGAGGGCTAGGTCATCTGAGAAGTCCAAATCATCTAATTGATTCTGAGAAGTCCATTGTATTCCGTATTTCCCTTCAGATGTCGAATTCGTCATAATCCAGTCAATCACTAGAAGGAAGAGGAATGGGGAGAGTAGACAGCCTTGTCTGACTCCTGTCCCTACTGGAAATGCATCTGTCAGCTGTCCTCCATGCACCACTTTGCACTGTAGTCCATCGTATGAGTTTTGGATAATGTTGACAATCTTTTCAGAAACTCCATAGTGTCGAAGAAGTTTCCACAATGTTCTCCTATCCACGCTGTCAAACGCCTTCTCATAGTCGATGAAGTTGACGTATAGTGATGAGTTCCACTCAACTGATTGTTCAACGATGATCCGTAGTGTCGCAATCTGGTCTGTGCACGACCGATCCTTACGGAATCCAGCCTGATGATCCCTAAGTTCGGCGTCTACTGCGTCTTTCATCCGATTCAGCAGCACTCTGTTGAAAACTTTTCCTGGTACTGATAACAAACTGATGCCTCTGTAGTTCTCACATTGGCTCAGATCTCCTTTCTTTGGTATCTTGATGAGATATCCTTCTTTCCAGTCCGTTGGCACTTGTTCCTCTTCCCAAATCTTTTTGAATAGAAGGTGAAGCATGTTTGCAGTTATTTCAATGTCTGACTTCAGTGCTTCTGCTGGTATATTGTCAGGTCCTGCCGCCTTCCCACTTTTGATTTGTCTGATGGCCATCTTGACTTCTTCGATCGTTGGTGGAGTGACATCTATTGGAAGGTCAGTGTGGGCTGCTTCGATGTTCGGTGGATTCGATGGGGCTGGTCTATTCAGCAGTTCCTCAAAGTATTCTGCCCATCTTTTCCTCTGTTCCTGAATCTCAGTGATTGTCTTTCCTTCTTTATCTTTGACTGGTCTCTCTGGTTTGCTATATCTCCCTGCCAATTTCTTCGTTGTATCATATAGTTGTTTCATATTCCCTTCTCTTGCAGCTTTTTCCGCCGCCGTTGCTAGTTCTCCCATGTATTTCTGCTTGTCGGCTTTAATGCTTTTCTTCACTTCTCTGTTTGCTTCTGCGTAGTCTGCTTGTGCTTTGACTTTCTCTGCTCGTGTTCGGCTGTTGTTAATTGCTAGTTTCTTGTTTTTCCTTTCTTGAAGTTTGTCCAGGGTCCCCATAGAGATCCATTCCTTGTAATGGTGCTTCTTAGGACCAAGAACCTCCTGACACGTTGAAGTTAGTGCTTCTTTTATCCCTTTCCAGTTGTCCTCCAAAGTAGTTTCTTGTTCTTTCAGT